TTTCCTAAATTTGGATGTCTGTGATAGCAAACACCAGGGCCTGGGTGGGCAGTCCTGTTTCACCAAAGAAGAATTTGGGGCATTTTTGCTCTTTGAGCATTCTCTTTCACCTTCTGAGCATTTCCTGGATGAATTCAGATTTACTAGAAGATATCAGCTAAGCAGATGAGCAAACCAATTGTGACTCCTGCAAAATGTTTCTAAGAGGTGGATGAGTCAGATAACAGATCCACAGAGCAGAAGATATCCACCCCCTACAGCAGCAAACTGTCAAAGCTTACAGACAGTATGAAAACAGATCATGTATGGAGTAATATTTCTCCTAAATACTCCACCAGACCCAGTGGTTTGTGGCTCAGGGACTTCCTGAAGCAGAGATGCTGTCTGTCTGTCTGTAACAGCCTAGACAGACTTTTCTTCCTGGTATTTCTTCAATGGGTTCTTGAACCCAAACATTTCAGTACTCACAGTGTCTTGTGGAAATAAGCTCCTCAGTCTATGTGTAAATTGTCCCTTTCTTTTTGATCCTGGCACTTTCTAGTCCACTTTCTTTCCTTTTCAGTCTTTGCCCACTCTCCATGCCAAGTTTTGTAAAGAAACTCTGAGACAGAGGGTGAGCAAGCCCCACTCACTCCTTAACTTCTGCTCTCCTTTGGAAAATGCTCTGATGTTTTATCCCAGGGGAACCAGTAACTATGACCAATTTTTATCCCAGTACACTCACACACATAAGCATCATCTTCGAAAGTTCCCTCCCAGCAGCACTTCTGTATTGCAAAAGGTACAGGATTACTCCTGCAAAAACAAATTATCATCAGCAGCTCAACTGCATCCTAATTTGCACAGTTTTTGATCTGTTATGAGTCACTGGAGGAGCTTATCTGAACTGCTGCTGTCTGCTGGCATGCTGACATTGCACAGGATGCAGAAAAATGGTGATTCCTCAGTGTATTACCCTGACCTCAGCTTTGCACCCCATTTTATGCCTGTTTCTGCTCTTACTGCTCCAGGCCATCCATGTCAAAGGTGAGGTGTTGCTCAGTCCAGAGGGCACAGACACAGAGAAGGTTGTGACCCTCCTCCAGCTCAGGGCCCTGGTTTAAGCACAGCTCTGCACGTCACTGTACTGGTACAGTGGAGAGGAAACTCTTCTGAAGGAGAGGCAAGAATAAGTGGTTAGGGGCAAGGAGCCAGAGGAATTTCTTTAATTGGTTTTTTCCCTGCATCCAGCACATTCTGAGCACTGTCAGCAGAGGGGCAGAGCTGGAGATGGCTAACAGCTCTCAGGCCTGCAATGCTCTGACTGGACAGACATTTACATATTTCTCCACAAATCCCTCCAACACTCCCATGTCTACCCTTTCTCTGTTCTGACTATTTATAAGCATGATTGCATCTTGATCTAGAAAATACTGAATGAATTGTCTTTAACCCCTTCAGAACAGGAAACTAGCATGTTTTAAAAAGTTTGGCTGATTGTTGGTACAGCTCCATCTCACCCTTCCTCACTTCCTGCTGGTTTAACTGAGCCTTTGGTCTCACTCTCTGGCTTCCCATTGCTCCTGTGCAGTTAGGAGAGGCTCCCATGCATAGCTGTCAGTCCCACAGATGTAGGGAGCAGAGCCCAGCAGCCCAGCAGTTTGCCCTGCTCACTTGGGTTTTTAGCTTTTGTTCTTTTTTAATGGTTTGGGTTGGAAGGAACCTTACAGCCCATCCAGTTCCACCTCTGCCATGGGCAGGAACAACTTACACTACCCCAGGCTGCTCCAAGCCCTGTCCAACCTGGCCTTGGACATTTCCAGAGACAGGACAGCCACAGCTTCTCTGGGCAACCTGTGCCAGGGCCTACCACGCTCACAGGGAAGAATTTCTTCCTAGTATCTCACCTATTTGTTTCTCTGCATTGAGCAATCCTGCGAAGCCAACCATTTCTGTCTTGTCAGAGGACAAAAAAGTCTTTTACACAAAGCAAACAAACAAATAAGACTGAGTAGAATCCATTAATAGGTTACTGAACAGGACTTGCTTGCCCTCTCTGGTCCAGAGCTGAGGCTCACAGAAGCTGTGTTGCTTTACTGAGTTTTCCCATTGCTTGCAGTGCACATGGAAGAATTCCCTGCATCCTGAGTGCAAAGCAGGTGGACCAGAACCTACCATGGATATCCCCAAATTTAGGATAATACACACACATCTGCTTACATAACGAATTGAATGGGCTTGGTTTACAGACCTGGACATTTGATCTGTGGCTAAGCTTGGGTGTGGGAGACACCAAAGTAGCTACAAGCACCTCTCCCTCCTAGCACTGGGTTTTGGAGTGCTGCATGTACCTCAGACGCTGGTTGGAAATAGCTCTGGATAAGACACACTGGCAGTTGCGGATAAGTAGGAAGCAGCAGCCAAGACTGGATGTCAGGAGAGGCCAGGAGGGGATGTCATAAAAACCCTGTGCTGCTTGGAGTGCTTTCATCCACGGGAATTCTTCAAGAGTTGGCTCATGAAGAGTTGCAGCTGTCCCGTGCTGCTGGCAAGAGCAGCGTGGCCACGTGAAGTGTCCGGGCGATGGCGGCTGGGGAATTCCGCGTCTCTTCCTAACGGGACAGAGGAGGCTTTCAGCAGACACTGCTGAGCTTCATTTGGCACCTTACAAAGAGAAAACTTGAAAATCTGCCCCTACTGCTTTGTCCTGCTTCCATGCTGCTCTGCTGTGCTGGCTGTAAAAGGATGATAAGTCAGGGCTCTGCACAGCCTGGGAGCTGTAGGGAACCACTCTGCAAACAGTTCTTGCTCCAAGAAAAGCCTGGCGCGCTCTGTGCAGCCATTGTGCCACAGAGCCCAGGGTCTCGACCAGCCAGATTTTCTAACCGCAGATTCCAAGTCATTCCTCTCACATTAAAAAGTTTTTGCCCCACAGGGAGGGGAACTTTAATCTTCTCAAACAGATCTGCTTTTACAGGAGGCTATTTTAGGCATTGATTCTGTAACAGTGAAGTTATTGGACAAATGAAGAACATGGCATATGCTGTCGCTTGGAGCAATTTGCATTCCTCAGGTGCTAAAAGCTTTAAATACTTCCTTTGGGCACGAAATAGATCTGCTGCCAAAGAAGCCAGCATCCTGAGAGTGCCTGTCCCACAGACTCCCACAGGGGAAATGTCTGCAGAGCTGAACTAGTCTGACCCCAGGAAATCCTCCCCACAGCTCTTGTTATTGCTCAGTTTCTCCTTTAAGTTTCATAATTCGCTGAAAGATCAGTCTGATGTTTGGTTATCTTCCTTTTCACGCACTTTCCAGGTCTTCCTCTTTTATATTAATACCACATTACAGCTGGGATGTGAACCATGCAAGTCAGGAAGTCCGAGATGCTCCTTCAAAGCCACTCAGTCAACATTGTTAATCATTTTTAAATGATTGTTTTCTTTGCTAATACACAAACGGCTCACTTCAGACTGGAGCTAAACACATCTGTGCAGCCAGCAGGTAACCTCCCTCCAGGAGTTTCTCACTCTTGTAAGCTTATTTTTATCTATTTTAACTACAACATCATAGAGATCTCTAGTATCAATACCTTTAAGATTTATTCATATTTCCTTCCCTTTTTGGTTTGTTTTTTACACCATTACAGTAGCAGTGCTATCATGCTTTACAATGATTTAAGGGCTTTTTAGTGCATTCCTGAAGTTGCTTTGGGTTCCAAAGTGTATCAGCTGCTTTTTCATGGTCAAAAAGAATGAATATTGTGTAACAGACTCTGTGTTTGCTCCACTCATGGTTTGTTTGGGTATTTTTTTACACCTTCTTATTAAACTGGAATAGTAACATTTGGAAATTCTGGGCTCTGTTCATGGTTTCCAGGAATGTCAGAGTTTTTCCTCTGGCCTGCTCACATTTGAGCATGACTCCATGCTTAAATTAACTGGTTCCTATTTCTGCCTTCTTAAGAACCTTTAGCTACTCATACTCCTGGCTGCACATCCAAAGCTGCAATATCCCCTAAAATTATAGTCAGCAATTTATCCTTCTTTCCAAATTCACAAAAGGGGTAGACAGTAAATACCTATTCTCTGCATCACTGGATCCTAGCTGGTGCTATCCTGGTATGAGTATTTTATTACAAAAATGGGAATAAATCCACTTGAATTCATCACTTTTTCTCATACCCTTTCTGCAAACACTTGTTTATGAATCAACGGCCCAAGCTTCATGTCCTCAGAATGTTGTGAGGAAAAATCGTATTTTGCCCCTATTTTTACCATATGCTCCATCTGGATAAAAGCTGAAGCCAAGAATTTTTTCTGCAGGCCAGATACTTGTTATTTGGGGAACTGAGGGAGTAATTAATGTAGCTTTCTGTAAAGCCAGCTTGTGACCATGCATGTTCATCAGAATGCACGCTCATGCCTTTTTGGAGTAGAACCACTAAATCATTTGGGTTGGAAGGAACCTAAAGATCATTCAGTTCCACCCCCTGAATGGGCAGGGACACCCCCCTTATTCCAGGTCCTGTCCAACCTGGCCTTGGACATTTCCAGGGATGGGGCAGCCACAGCTACTCTGGGTACCCTGTACCACGGCCTCTTCACCCTCACAGGGAAGAATTCCTTCCCAATATCCCCTCAGTCAGATTGAAGCCGCTCCCCCTTCTCCTATCACTCCAGGCCCTTATCCAAAGTCTCTCTCCAGCTCTCTTGAAGGCCCTTTAGCCACTGGAAGGAGCTCTGAGGTCTCCACATGGCCGAACACTCTCAACTCTCAGCCTTCGTATTGATGAACTAACGATTAACATGAAAAACCGAGGAGTGGATGCTGAAACCAGCGAGAGTTCAAACGCTGTTTTACAGAGGGTCTGTGCCCCAGAAAGCAACACCCACGAGGAGACAGCCCTGAGGAAGAAGCATCCGTACATCGGAGCCGCCTCTGTCCCCTCACGGCCGCGCCTCTGCGCCCGCCCCGGCCCGGCCCGCCCCTCACGGCAGCTGCGGGGCTTCCGCGGGGCCGCGGCAGGGGCTGCGCGCGCCCCGCCCGCGGCGGGAACGGCCCCGGCAGGTGCGTGAGGGGGAGCCCGGGAACGGCCTGGAGCGACCGGGAGCGACCGGGAACGGCCGGGGAATGGCCACGAATCGCCGGGAACGGCCGGGGCGGGCGGAGGAGGGAGCTCGGGTTCCCGGGGCTCGGCCACGGCCACGGCGCCGGCAGCGCCCGAACAGGCCCGGCCGGCCTTGCCCGGCACTGCTGGGCGCGCCTCCCGCTGCAGCCCCGGATTCCGCTCCAAATCACGAATGTACTCAACCAATATGTAATTCTGCTGAGAAGGCTTTTTTTTATTTTTATTTTTTTGGTTTTTCGTCATTGCTCGTTGTTGCCTCCTTTATTCTGTACAGAAGGATGAGTTAGGTTTCATCCCAAAAAAGCTCAAGATGCTCGGTAGGGAGTATGAGCAAGGACTTGAATTGCAGGGAAATAAGATCCCCAGCACTTAGTAAGGTGAATAAAAGCATCCTTTTTGGCTTATTTTTGCAGTATTAGGGTTGCACGTGCTGTCAGAATCTGTCTGTGGAGAAACTGACTATATTTATGGTTATATTAGCTCATGCCTGCACTCATTTTTCAGTGTGGTTTTCTTTTTTTTTCCTGCTTCTCACACTGTTTTCCAGAAAACTATACATTATTATCTTATTTCTGGTTACTAATAGAGTAGACTAGACAGGAAAGGCAGAGAGACATCATTCATGCTGAGAACTCATTGAAGGATCTGCCTTCAAATGTCTGTTTAAGAGGTTATGGAACAAAAAAGACAGGAATAACTGGCAGGAATAAGTTGCTAAACTGGCAGAAACAGGCAGGAATAAACTACCAAACCAGATGCAGCCCCCAAGGACAGTGTTGCTAGTGATGGTTTCAGCAGCAAATGTGTCACTAATTTTTAAAGAGGGTTCCAGGGGAAATCCAAGCACTGCAGACCTGGAAGTTTGACCACCACCAAGTGAATTAATAGCAAATGTAGCAAAGTAGGATTATTGGAGAGCTGCATAAGTATCATGGGGGGAAAATCAATGTGGCTTCAAAGTCATGCCTTAAAAGAATGCTGGAATTTTCTTAGACCCAGGTCTAAGTAAGCATGTTGAGTTCTGGCTCACAGTCTGTAGTCAGATTTCAGGAAGGTTTTAAACAGGAGCCCTTTACCTGGACATAATAAGGGAGTTCCCCTGTCACAAATACACAGCTGTTGCAAAGATAGCAAAGAGGATGTGACTAAATGGGCAGCTCTCCTGGTGGCTGGAGGTCACCGTTGGGGTGCTGTGGGGATGGTTTGTAGATGACATTGAAAATCAGTGTTTCCAGCTGGCTTTGCCTTATTGAAGGTGGTAAAGAGGACTGAGGGTGGTCAAGTGCAGGTGTAAACTGATTTATATGGGTGGGGAGCAGTGCAAATTCCCCACACAAAATGAGGGAGTTTTTGGAGCAGTATTAACTGATTCTGTGAACTTTTCTTTCTTGGTCAAATCTCCCTTTGGCTGGTGTTACAGGGGTTCAGGGAAGACTTTGCCTGGATCAGAAGGGTCCAGTCCAGAGTCATGGAGGATGTGTGGAGGAGCCCTGAGTGTTTATTCTGTTCTTCCCCAGGCTCCTGCTCTTGACCTGGGCTGGAGAGCAGGATACAGGGAGAGATATCCTTTGGTCTGACCTAGCATCTGTTCCCACTGCAGATCTGTACAACTGGGAATTGCTGTGAGGAATTCTCCAGAACTGTCAGTGTTTTATGTACTCTTCATTATTCTGGCAGAAAAATTGATGTACCTGAGAAGGTTGTGCAGGTATCTGGACCTGGGAGCCAAAAGTACAAATGCAAATTGCCAGTGGGATATATATATGTATTTTTCCCTCCTTCTTTTCATGAAAACTCATTAAATACCTAAGGAAATGCCTGCAGATGCAGTCTTGTTAGAAGGATTGAAGAATCCTCTGTAGACTCTTTTGTGCCTTGAGTACAGGGGTATCTGCTGCTGAGCTGGGTTCTGCACAGATTTGCAGTGTCTCTCCAATTCTGCCTTGCAAGCTTCTGAACCACTTGCCTGAGATTAGCCCAGCTGCCCTGAACACTCCAGGCACTTGTGCTGATTCTGCTCTTGATCCTCTTTTTCCGACTTCCATACCCCTTTTTTTTTTTTTTTTTTTTTGGTATGTTTTTACCAGATGTGTTTAACAGCTTGTAGTTCATTTGGTTACAACAGGATTAGTAAAAAGTGATTAAACCCATGGCTCATTATTTGAGGCCCAGGAGTAGGATTTGTTTATTATACAAGCAGGAAAATCTAGATAGAAATGAAGAGCTGCAGAATTTGTCTGTGGGTTTACAGAAGAGGTTGAGCCTCTTGCTTTCCAAATGCACAGGGCTTGGATCCATGGTATGTGTTGCATTCTACAGTGTGATTTTTCTTGGGCAAGAAGAGATTTGTATTTGCAAGCAACATCCTTTCCAGACAGTGTAGATGGGCTTTGAGACACAGAGCTTTGTGTTTCAGATCTTGCTATGAGCAAGCAGGGCCACAGAGCACATTAGGAATGTGGGGTTTTTTTCTGGGTTTTTTCTGGGTTTCTCAGCTGCTGTTGCAGCCCCTCACTCTGCACTGTGTTTCTGTCCTGACCCATTTCTCCTGGCTACAAGGCAATTTCCTGCTGCTGTTTCCATTGGAGATGCTGAGATGTGTCAAGGATCAGCCCAGAGCAGGGAAGTTGCAGTGCCCTGAGGCTGCTGCTGCTGTACCGTGTCAGTGAGAGCAGCTTTGGGAATGATTTAATTGGAAGTGCAGCAGGTGCCAGGCAGCTCAGATCCTGTTTCTGATGTCACATTCCATAAGAGCACAAATTACCAGAGGAGTTGATGCTCCACTCGAGTCAGCCATGTTTGCAGCAGGTCTTTCTGTGTGGCTGATGAGCTGGAAGCTCCAGTTAATACTGTCAGGGAAGTCTGGAGCTATTGTCCTCAGTGGGAAGTGTGCCTTGAGTGTTCCAGAGGGTCAGGCTGAAATGGGGTGTTGCTCCTCTGCCCCTTCCTTCCTGCAGCTCTTTCTCCTGACAGGACTCACTTGCCCAGGCCACCAGGCAGTTCTGTCTGAGGCAGGCTGGTGAGTTCTGACAAAAAAATGCTAAAAGCCACAGTTCAGAGCAGAGTACCTGGCATGCAGCTGTGGCAAGTCTCTGACACCACTGAATTATTGTAATAAAGAATTAGATGTTCAGAAAAAAATGAAACCGTCCTACCTCTCTGCCAGTCATGCCAATGTGATTTGATTTTTTTTTCCTACCTATTTTTATATGTTTGTGTCTGGATTCTTCTGAAGTGAAACATAACACTGTTGGGGAATTGGCACTGGTGATTCAGATTGTAGCAATGCTGAATTTCACTGTAGTGAAAATAAACTGTTGCTGGTGGAACTTCATTGTGAGAATCATCAGACCAAGATAAAGATTGCTTTTAATATTGAAAGTTTTTGTAGTAATTTTTAAATGCTGATGATCTGGTGGAAAATGAGTGGCAACAGTTAATTACTTATGTATATACCTGCTTGCAGGTTCAGCTATAGGATTCTATCTCCATTTCTAAGGCTGTATGATACTGGACCCTTACATCTACATGGGGTCCAATTTAGAATTGGTGTCTTTGCATTCTCTTGTAAAAGTCCTTTTTTTGAGGCTGACACTTGCCAAATTTAGTGCCAATGGGGGCATTTTAAAAGTTTGGTTTCAGCTTTCTGTGTATTCAGTGTAGGAAAAGTTTATTCCCCACTGACTAACAAAGGCTTAAGAGCATCTCCAGCACTGCCCATCTGGGAGATGGGCTTTTTCTGGACCAAGAGAAAACTGCAAATTATTCTGGAGTTTGATCTAATGGTGCACTCTTGGTATCAGATCTCCAGAATCTCTTGGGCTGTTTCAAAGCACTTTATCCAGTGAATAAATGCTTGTACCTGTTCAGCAGGTGTAAGGACTGCAGCACTGAAAGGGAAACACCAGCTTTGTGGAGCTCACATGGAAAGTGGTGCCAGAGCAGGAGAACAATTGCACAGTTGTGCTGTAGCTGCCTCAGGTCCATGCTGTTGGCTGGAGCAGCAGGTTGAATCTTCCTGGTAAGTTGAATCATTCTGGGGAGATTCTTACACAAGCACTTGTACAGCATGATAAATAAGTTTGTGACTGTGAATAGGGCATTTCTAAATTTCCTGTGGAGGTTTAGATTTTGATCTAGTTACATTACCTTTGAAAATGATTGATATACAGCTTCTTTGGGCTTTCTGAGGCAGCACAATTTTTGAAGTGCTTGTTTTCTGTTTTTTCTGTCTGCTTAAAAGATTTTGTTAGCTTTAGGTAAAAAGTACAAAGTACTGGTTCATCTTTGCTTTTACTTTCTGAATTTTCTAACTTAACAGCAAACTTATTTCCAATGCTTAGTGGAGCAGAGTTGCTTTTATCTGCAGTCCTTAAAAGATAAATACTCAAACTGCTGGTTTCTGTTTGCTCATCAGGAGAGCCCAGTATTTGCCCAGCCTGGTGCAAACACAGCTAAATCTGTCACCTGCTGCTGCAGTTTGCACAGGTTGTCCATGTAGTCATGTCTTTCAGATTCATTGTTCTGCAGGGATGTGTAAAAACAGAAGTTTGTGGAAATGAGTGGCTTTTAAATAAGCTTTATAATCCTAATGATACTTATATCCATTTTCTAGAACTATGCCAAGAAAAAGAAAGCTGTTGTCTCAATTAAGTGCTCTTCAGAACACCAGCAGCTTCCCTCAGATCAATGCTGTGGAGCAGCTGAATGCTACACCTGGAGCAGATCCTTCTCCAAAAAGCAGCAAATATTTTGTGATAGAGAAAAAAAATTCTCCTCAGCTGCAAGAAGATTTTTTCAACCAGCCCTGTGTTAGTCTGGCCAAGTCCTTTCTGGGACAGGTAAGGCATGAGCCCTGGGATTCTTGCACTGGATTATGTGCTAGCTGATAACTTAGTGTGAAAGGATGAAATTCTTTTTTGCCATTTGACTCCTAGGCTTGGCTATTTTAGGAATACAGCTCTCATTCCTTCTCTTGCTAAGTGCAGTGGAATTTAAAGACCAGTAGCTGAATCTATTCTAGATGAAGTCAGAGGAGTAATTTTTCAGATTTAGTCTGTCACATTTTTAATTGGGGTTTTTTTGGTGGAGTTTTCCTTCCTTTTTCTGTTTACTAAAATGTGCTTAGCTACTTGTGGTTTGAAGGCTGTTTCAGGCCCATTATCTTCCTTTCAGCAATTGCTTTACTTGTTTTTGTTTCTTGCTTAGCCCAGTGGAAAGCAATGCTCACAGTCAGCAACATCTTCCTTGCCTCCATTTTACTGTCCTGTTATGCTAAGGATTGCACAGTCCCACAGTTAGGCTCTTTTCATGCCAAATATTGCAATTCCTGTCTTTTGTTTCTGAGTTTCCAAGTCATCACCTGTTCATGCAAGGACTTCTCCCTTAGCCCATTGCATAAACTCTGAGGAGTCTTTGGCCCTTGCTGAAAGCCTTTGGAAATCAGAGTGGTGGAGATTGACTCTCCTGCTTAGTGAGTCCTTCAGAAACTCTCTGGCTGGTTCCAGGGGAGGGAGTTCCCTTAGTGTTTTCCCTATAAAAAGTTCCAGTCCTGGACCTGCTAAACTCAACTGCAGAGTGTGTGTTCAGTTTCACTGCTATGCTCTTATCTTCTCTTTATACCTTTATTGTCTGCAGGGTGAGCAGACTCTCTGGGTTCTCATGGCTTTAGATAACTTCAGGAATTTGTTCCACAAACTGTTGGTTTTGGCCTGTTTTGCTGCATCCAGCCTTTTTTTTATTTTCTAAGGATATCTTGCTTGTAAGTGCTCTTTGCTCTGCCTTTTAGCCCTGCTGGGTTTCTTTCTGGCGTGCCTTCACCTCTCTGTGATACTCCACATGTGTTGCTATCTTTGCAGACATCCTGCTAGAGGCTTGCCTTTCAGGCCTTAACCTTTGGCTGCCTCTAAAGTTCTTCCCAACAAGCTCCCTCACTTTACATAGTTTCCTCTTTGTGCTGGTGGGCAGGACTCTGGTAGATTATTTTTGGACTTTAATGCTTGTGAAAAGACCCTGAACTTTATCCTTCACAGTCATGATACTGGGTTGTTTTTCAGGAATAAGTCTTTGGAAAAGACTTTGTGTTTTGCTCCAGATCTGAGTCTTTTCTCATGAGGTTCCTGATTCCTTGCTCTGCATAAAGTTTGATGGTGTCTAAGCAAACATTGCACATGTCCTGCTCTATCTGAGGACGCCTGAAGTCTCCCATTATTGATACATTTTTGTTGTCTTAATGGCTCCATCACCCTCATGCATTCAGTCACTTTGGGCAGATGATTTTTGAGTCCTAATTCTGTATTTTTCCTATTTAGGCCTAGTATTCCAAACTACGTGATTTCTATCTTAATTTTACATTTTCTTTAAAGTATAACCTCCAGTTTCCCAGCCTATGACCCAGCCTATTCTCTTATAAATGACCTCCAATTTCTCAGCCTATGACCTCCAGTTTCCCAGCCTATGACCCAGCCTATTCTCTTATAAAGGTAATTTAGTGTTTCCTTCATTACCTTCATTCTACCAAATTTTGGAGGCATCTGGTATATTAATCTTGCTTATCTTCATGATACCTGATTCTTGGAACCAAAAAAGGTACATGCAATGAATGGCCTTTCAGAGGGAACTGCCATAACATCAACATAACATCCTCAGTGAGAAAAATAATCTTTATGAAATGGCTCATTGTGAGGTGGTCAGAATTATCACCATTTTTAAACTTTTTTATTCAACAGAACATTTGGTGTGTCTGAAGACAGGGAAATGCCTGGATGCTTTCAAACCCATAACCTAACCATTGCATTTCATCATACTGAGGGAGAAATGCAGCCACATGGGTCTGGTTTTGGGGTGTTCCCAGGCACTTGTTGAACACCAGTGCTTTTTTTTTTCCATAAAAAATAATAAACATATTATTTTCAACAATTTGACAAGTGCTGTAGGGAAACTGTGGTATACTGGAGCTGCAGCTTTGGAAACCAACTCCTGGAGCTTCCATTATGGATCAGATCAATATCTGCATTAGCAATCCAGCACAAACATCTGTTAGGAATTAAGCTTTGTTTTCTGAAGGTCATTTTTGAACAGCTGCATAATTAAAGTGTTATAATTAAACTGATTGCTGGTGCCCAAACAAGACTGTGCTGCAGTATTTCATACACGTTAAGTAAAGCACAAAGTTTAGAAATCAGGTCAAACCACAAATTCCTTTGTACAAAGTTTAGTGGTTGTTTTATTTTCAAAGAGAATCTTTTGACTGTCATGTTTTGTTTCCCCTGCATCTGCTTTGTTTTATTTAAGGAGGTACCAGCAGCAAGAACACACTGTAATAACAAAGATCTGTTGTTGTCTGCCTGAAGCCAATTCCCATCTCTCCTGCACTGCCCTTCTCTGTGGTGCAGAAAATACTGAAATGGCATTGATGCCCTCTCTAGAGCTGATTATCTCTGTGATTTGGGACTGGGACTTGTTTGAAACATCTCTAGGGAGGGAAACTGTCTAATCATGGCAGTTGTTTAATTGTGCCACTGTCATATTTCTTCTGATCTAAGGAATATACAGTCATGATGCTTCAAGGTTGATATCAGCAGTGATTTTTGCCTTAAACCTGATGGATTGGAGTTACAGAAAATAACCACAAAAGCACCTCCATGGGTCTATGTAGGATCATAAATTGGTTCTGTTTCATACTGCCTCATCTAGACACTCCAGGCATTTTGTGGGGTGAGGGACAGGTGGGAACTCCTTGTACTGGGCTCTGGAAGCTGAAAAAGTTGGAGTTAGCTTATAGCCTGCTCACTGGAGAGGATTTACTACCATCAGGTCCTTTCTTTCCAACTTCTCTGTTTCCACAGCTCTTGCTGTGGTTATTTTGTACTGAGGGCTGGTAACTGATGCACTCTGACCTCTCTTTCAGATTTTAGTTCGCAAACTTCCTGATGGCAGAGAGCTCTGGGGCAGGATTGTTGAAACAGAAGCTTATCTGGGTGGGGAAGATGAAGCTTCCCACTCGAAAGGTGGGAGGCAAACCCAACGGAACGCGGCGATGTTCATGAAACCAGGAACTCTGTACGTGTACCAGATCTATGGCATTTATTTCTGCATGAATGTTTCCAGCCAAGGTAAGCTGAGGCTGAAAGAGATGGAATGCCAGCAGGATGGGGCTGACATTTCAAACTGCAGGGCTGCTGCAGGTCACTTGTGAGCTCTCTGTGGGCTCTCTGATTTGCTGTCACCATCCTCCCTTGGGACCTGGCCTTTGCCACTGTGACCAGAGTGTACCTGTGGACAGCACAGCAGGCAGGGCCCATCTCCAGCTGCCCCATTTGTCCCAGCTGGGAGCTGTGGGAGCTGTTCAGGCACACAAAGATTGAGAAATGAGGGAGAATCTGCATAGGATGGAGCTTTCAGTTTCGATGACCTGAGCTGCTCCCTCAGTCATATGATACAGTGAACCTTGTTCCTCAAAAGTGGTGATGTAGAGAAAAATCCAGAGTCATTAATGATAGCCTAAATCTTGGTGTCTGTTGCCATGGCAGGAAACTCCTCTGTCTCCTGCCTTTATCTTCAGAGGCTGAATGAAGTGTTGGGGAAAACAAAAAGTCTGAGAAACAAAAGTGTTGGGGAAAACAAAAAGTCTGAGATGTCCTAAGCTTAAGCAAGGAGTCAGTGGCAGCATTTTAGCTGTCTAGCTGTATCTAAAAGCCAAAAAACCCACCCAAATCAAAATACCCAGACTGTTAGAGAATCTTCAGTCTTCTTTTATTATTCTCAAGAAAAAATAATCAAGCTCTAATTAAATTATTCTGTAATTGACTGAAACTGTCCTTCACATTTCAAGACTCTTAAGAAGCATTACTGAAAACTTGCTTCTTTTTCTGTCCTGTAAGAATGACAGTATTTGCCTTGCAATGAATCTCTTGTTAATTAGACACCTTGAAATGGCAGGAAGTGTTTCCTAGGTAGCTACTCACTCTGTTAGGAAAAAATCTCAAACCCAATTTCTTTCTTTTTCACTATTTCAATGCTAAAGGTTAAAAAGCTTGTGTATTCCTAAGTGGAAAGCAAATGTAACTGTGACCATGAATGCTCAGGTTTTGGCCTTTGGACAGAAGCCAAGCAGAAAAATGGTGCCACGTTAATGTGTGGGGGAAGAGCCTGACTTTGCAGCTGAGGGTCTGAGTCTGGTGGATGAACACATGTGAACTTCATTACAGTGGCTCTGCCACATCTGTTCAGATTATGAAAGCACATGGTTCATTTGTCAGGATGGGATTCTCGGTGATTAAAATATTAAGAGTCATACTTTTTATTAAAAAAAAATGTTTAGCCTTTGAATTCTAGAAAGATTTCTTCGAAATACACACTTTGGGAAATTTTTCCTTATAGATCTGGTTTTAGCTTTGTAGCAAAGCAGTTAAAGGGCTCCCTGAGGTGATAGAATTCATTGCATTTTTTGTTACAAACTCCCTCCCCATGCTGTCCCACAGGAGTGACACCAGGCAGAGCTGTCCCTGCCAGCTCTGTCAGAGCCCTGCAGTCAGTGCCATGGCTGTGCACGTTGTGCACCACTGATGGAGCTACACAAACTGGAGCTGCCCCTTCTGTATTTGCCCAGTGCAGAAGTGTTGAAAGAGAGAATCTGGGGAGGAATCACACACGAGATGTTTTCTCTCCAGTTGTTTATTGTGCTGTGGTTTAGTCTGAGGGAAGGATTGAGGGAGTCATTTTCACATTTTCACAGAGCATTTCATTCTCTGGATATGGGATTTTCAAAACTTTGTTTCAACTCTGGCTGTGAAAAAATACGAAGAAACCCTAGCAAAAAAAAACCAAACCAACCAAAAACCATCTCTTGTGGCATAGCTTGGTCCTTCTGAAGACAAACAGCTCCAAGAGACAAGTGTATCCTCTGAAGCAGTGGAGCTGTGACTCTTCAGGGATCACTTGTTTTGATACACAACCTCAGAGCCTCAGACTCCAGGTGGAATAAACCTTCTCTGTTTATTGGTTTATGCTGAGGTTCAGGCTCCAGTATCATTCAGGGATGGGAAGATTGTGTCACCCACAGCCCTGTGTTCATAAAACCATAATGAGATGGGGGGGATCCAGTATTCTTTGTCAGTGAGGAAGGGGAAATCTTCATGCACATCAATGACATAAAGCTTCATTGTGGGGAATTTTACTGTGAGAGGTCCTCCCATCACTGAAATACTGCAACTGCCTGAAGCCACAGCAGGCATCACTACATTTGGAGAAATCATGGGTGGTAGAGGAGAAGAGCTTATAGAAAACATATAGCCAGAGTCCTTTACTGTGCATGAATCCTACAGTATATCCTGAGCAGCACAATAATCTCAGTGCTAGGAGCTTTCCCTAGAGTCCAGAGACATGTGGGGCTTCCCTTGCCTCAGGAAGAGGATAAATGCCAGTCATGCCTCTCTTTGACTTAGCTGTGATCTGTTTCTCTGGAATTTGCCAAGGTCTGTATTTTGCTGCCAGATCTGAAAGAACAGCTTGTAAAATCAAGAGCCTGGTGATGCTCAGCCCAGGGTCACACTGCAGGGACTTCTCCCTAACTTTCAGCTCCTAGACTAGGATTTTGGAGGAAGTATTGGGGAGCACTGAGGTGGGTGGGTGAATGGAGGAGAAAATTCTCTCCAGTGGCCAAGAGCTGTTTCCAAGCCTGGGAGCTGGAGCTGGAAGCTGCACAGTGGGGGTGTGGGACTCCACTGTCATGTTATGAATTCTAGCTGCTCAGGGAGAGAATTGGCCTCTGCAGTGTTGTTAGATCCCAGCTTTTAGCCCTGAATGCTGCTCATTATATGGAGTGACTCTTAGCAGGAGAGATGAATACTCAGCATCCCCAGCTGGCCCTGCTGCTGCTGCTGTGTGCACATTGGGCAGATGCTGAACTCGGGTGACCCTTGAGAATGAACTGCTGCAGGCTGGGAGGGGGAAGAAGCCAAGCTGAAGCACTCTACAGTTGACTCAGCCACTTTTTGGGAATTGAAATTAAATTTCTAATGTGGAGGTCTGCTCAGGAGGAACCAGAGGCATGAGGGGAAGAAGGCTCATCATGGTAACCCTGCACTCGTGTCCTGCCTGCTGTCTCCACCTCTTCCCAAGGCTGTTCTCTGGGCAGAGTGGGGTGTGTGTTGCACACAGCTAGAAAGAACCTGGAAACTTCCAGCTGGAAATGCAGAAAGAGCAGCCAGAGACAGAAATTGCCAGTACCCCCTGGCTGGGCTGTGCTGCTCAGGGAGCACCTGCAGATTCCAAGTGTTCATCTCTCTTCATGTGAACTCCCAAGGACTCGGTTCAATTCTAGTGTGACCACAGTTTCCATTTGCAGTTGAGATGGGTGAAAGCAAGCAGTGTAATGAGAGATTGCTCAGAATCCTGCAAGTTGTTCCTGGCAAGGGAGGCAGCAACATGATGGGAAGGATGTTTCTTTGTGCATTGATAAAAAGCAGAATTAGGACATGGAACATGTTCTTAAAAATCTGAAATGACCTTTGAGCTCTAAATCACTGTTAGGCCAGGGAAGCAGCTTTTGGCTGCCAGATTAGCATCAATCCCCCTCCTTGGAGAAGGGAGTGCCTGGGAACAGATTGCTGACAGCTGTTGGAATCCAGGCTGTTGACTTCACCGAGCTGCAGTCAGGGGTTCTGAGATGGTTCAGGGCAGCAGGCACACCTCAGAGAGCCAGGAACCAGGACTTCACTGGGAGCCCAGAGGGGTAATGTAGTTTGGGATTTGTACAGAAAATGAGAGGGATTCTATTTTGGGAAATCACATGTCCTTAGGGATCTGCCAGTGCCTACACAAAAAGCCTTTGCCAGGCATGAGTGTGGCTCCAGATGTTTGAGGCTGGAGAGGGAGAGGGGACTCTGGGGAGCAGCACTGTGCAGATGCTGGTGGGAGGAAAGCTGTGGGTGGCCAGCACAGGGGGAGCTGTGTGGGGCTGCACACAGGCCCTGTGCCAGTGCTCTCCTCGCCCACCAGGGACAGGAGGAGACCTGGGCCCCTGCTGGCCACCAGGGAAACGTTTCTGTCCCACTTGGGCTGGAGATCCTTGTCTGACAGGGAATGTCTGCTCAGAGCTGCATCTTTGCTTTGCTGTCACCTGGCTGCAACAGCTGGGAGGGCAGGGGACCTAAGGCTTCTGACAGGGTGGAAAATCACATTTGAGAAAAGAATTTGTCAGTTTTGTTCAGTTTTTGTCATAGAAAGGTCTCTTCTGCTAAGTGCTGCTCCCAGGGCTGTGCATCCCACAGCCCTGTCCTGCCCCAGATTCCTGCCCTGGGAGATCTTCTGTGGCACATGTGTCCAGATCACACTCTGCTGGAGCTGTGCAGTGACCCAAGGCCGTGCTCATCCCAGCTCTTACACCTCCAGAGGGACTTTGGATTGGTACCAGCCCTGGCTGCCTCAGCAGTGACTGCTCCCAGTGCCTGCAGCTCCTTCCCAGGTTTCTCTTCAAGCTGTCTCTTTCTCTGGCAGCATCCAGACTCATTCCTCCTTGCCTTTGTTAGCTGGAGTTCTTGTAATCAGAGTTTATTAGAAATCCACTGGCTTTGGGAGCAGAGCTTTGGATGCCTCTGCCAAAACTGAACCAGATGTATGTTTATTCCTGAACATCGTGCTGACATAAGAAAAAGTTCTTGCCCTCTGGCAAGCCTTGGAGCAGCAGCCAGACTTAGTTAGCAACATCAGGTGGAGCTGGGAAGAGCAAGTCAGCCCTGCAGAATGAAGGGCACAGAGCTACAGGACACTGGAGATATGGAGGAGGAAGGGAGTGCCCCTGGAGCAAAGGACAGGCCCATGGTTGGGTGCACCAGGCCATTCCCTCTTCCATCAGGCTGAGCCACGGGCTCAGAGCTGAAGTGCTGCTGGCAGTGGGCTGAAGGGTGAGACCTTGCCAGCAAACAGCCCCATACTAACCCCAGCTCTTGTTGTGCACAGGAGAAGGGGCTGCAGTGCTGCTGCGTTCCCTGGAGCCTCTGCAGGGCCTGGATGCCATGAGGGAGCTGCGCAGCGCCTCCAGGAAAGCACCCAGCAGGCTGCTCAAGGACTGGCAGCTCTGCAATGGGCCCTCCAAGCTCTGCCAGGCCTTTGGCATCGACAAGGCTTTTGACCAAAGGGACCTGACTCAGGATGCTGCCATCTGGATGGTGCCAGGACAGGACCCGCCGGGGGAGCAGGACGTGGTGGCCACCACCAGGATTGGCATTGGCAACAGGGGAGAGTGGGCACAGAAACCACTCAGGTTTTATTTACGAGGAAACAGATTTGTGAGTGTTGTAGACAAGAAAGTAGAGAGAGAGATGGCAGCAAAGGGACATTCCCCTGGCAGCTGACGAGTCTTGCAAGTGACCAGGGACCAGGACATGAGCTGTGCTCTGTACAGTGGCCTCAAGCTGCATCATGGCAGATAGAGGGGCCTGGGGGGTTTTTAACAATAAATGTATTTTGTCACAATGAATGGGGCAAGGTGGAGCTTTATTTGCAGGAGACTGGCGTGGGCCTCCCAGCCAGAACTGAGGCTGGTTTTGGACACTTTGGACACTGAAGGCCAATTTCTCCCTTGCCAACGGATCCAGGCTTAATTAAGGCAGGTGAGAGGAGAAGGGTCACAGCTCTGGGCTGCTCCCATCGCTTCAGCCCCCAGCAGAGGCCAGTGCTTGGCTGCTGCAGGGAAATAGTTTAAAAATTGGGTGGCAGCAGAGCAGACTGAAAGGATGGGAGCTGGGAGAGAAGGATGTAAAGGGAGGATCTTGCTGTTGTCTGCAGCTACCTCAGGGGAGGGCATAGAGAAGACAGCCAGGCTGCTCTCAGACAGGATGAGAGGCAACAGGCACCAGCTGGAAAACAGGAAGTTCTCATTAGCTCTATGGAAAAAAATTTCCCCATGAGGATGGTCAAACACTGGAACAGGGGCCCAGAGAAGCTGTGGGCCATTCACAGCTCCCCAGACAGGGTCCTGAGTGACCTGAGCTAACACCTTTCCTCTGAGCAGAGACCCCTTCCAACCTCTACCTATCTCTAATGCCCAGCTTGGAAAACAAGAATGGGTTTTTGTTCATTTTCCCAGCTGCTTTTGAAACCAGTTCAGAATTTATCACTGTGTGAACCCCCACTGCACTGCAGCAGCCTGGCTTGAGGTACAGAGAGGAAAAACCTCCAGGATTCAGGGCAGGACCTGCAGGACTGCAGCCACACTGGCTGGGTGACAGGGACACACCCTCCACCCCCACCTTAAGGTTCACATACAATAAAAAAGCTCAAGTTTATTTTTAAATACTCTTGTCCCCATCCCATGAAAGAATTGGGTTCAGCCCCTTCTGGGCAGCCTTTTTTCTGATTGCAGTAGCTCACCTTGATGCTCAGGTGCTGGGGCTGCTTTAGACAGGACCTACAGTGGTGTTGATCTGAGTTTTAGATCAGATATGGCTTTTTGCTCTTCCCTACCATCCTGCAGCTGCAGGGCCAGACTCACTGAAGGGATCCAGAAGAAGCTTCCCCAGTGGCTGTTGGAAATTAAATCAGCTGAAGTTCCCAGTTTCACCCAGTTGGTGGGGGCAAGTGAAGCTGCTCATGAGAGCCTGCAGCTCTGGGAAAAGCTCCAGCCTCACAGAGGCAGGGGTGAGCTGGCTGTCCCCAAGCCCTGGCATGTCCCAGGGCTCTTGCCTCTTGTTCTGGCCCTGGCATGGCTGGAGGAGCAGTCCCAAACCAGAGCAGGAAACACAGCCCTGTATCTCACTTTCCTGCTGGGTAGCTTTAACCCAGGCCAGGATCCCTGTGTGCAGCCACAGCCAAGCTTGTGGGAGAGGGACTGGAGGGACAAAACAAGCCCAGGGGGACAAGCCTGAGTGTCCTCAGCACCAGCCTCTGGGTGGAACAGGTCCCTGAACCTGCAGCTTGGCCAGCACCTTTCAGTCCTGCTCAACAAGCAAGCTCCCACCCCCAGGCACAAACTGGGAAACATGGAACCCCAGGAACACAGAGGCTGCTTGGTGAGAGCCCTGCTCCAACAGACACTTGGCAATAAGGATATTGGGGCAAGGAAAGAATGAGCTGTGACACAGTGACTGAGTCATTCATTCATGATGATTCCATGTTTACTTGTGATACTTTGCCTTCCCACCTGTCCTTGCTGCTGTGAGAGCAAACAGAATTCCTGGGTGCCCAGGGTCATTCCCTAGGAGCCAGGCCAGCTGCCCTGTGCCCTGGAGCAAGGCCATGCATGCTGTGCCATGGGGACAGGCTCTCGTGGCCGAGTGTCCCGTGCTGGAGGGCACAGGAAGCACTCCCAGCGTCCCCCAGAGTTCTGCCAGCAGTGCCACAGCAGAACCCTCCTGTCCCACTCTGAGGATCCCTGGGAAGGCTGTGAGTGTGGCAGGGCAGGGATCCAGGCTGAGCAAGCACGTGCTGTCCTGCAGCAGCCCCGGAGAGCAGCTGGCACAACCAGGCACCAACGGGGACAACCTGCTGTGTGTCACGTGGCTGGACAGAACTGAAACCACCTCCTGCAGTCTTTAGGCATCCTTTAGACTCTCAGCATGGAGAGCATGGCAGGCTGCCTCCTCTGTGCCAGCAGAGTCACTTGAGGAGCGACTGGAAGACGGAGATGACGGGGTCCTCGTGGCTGGTGACCACCAGCACGCTGCGGAACTTGTCGAACAGCATCAGCAGCTGCGAGCGCCGCATGTTCTCGTTGTACATGATCTCCTCCAAGTGGTGCCGCCCTCGGAAGTAGTGCAGCAGCCTGCAGGGAGCAGAGCAAGGCAGCACGTGGGCCAAAAGCAGCTCAAACTCATACTGCAACCCCCAAGGTCTCCTCTCCCATGGCATGCAAATCACAAGGTTGTTTGGGTTATGTCCCTCATTTGCATGAAAAGGGAATTAAATCATGCCTAGCACAGAAATCCCCTGGAAAAGGTTGGGACTTGCCCACTGTGGGGCTTTGCCAAGGTCCTCCTTGGATCAAGAGGTTTCCCAGTCTGGGGCATTTCCCAAGACTGCCAATTTTCGACTTAGTTATAATTCCAGAAAGTGAACAAACACAAGTGCCAACGAGCCTTGAGAAGTCAGGACATGGCAGATTTATTCTGTGCTCTCTTAGCTAAGCCTACAACTGCCCTTTGTCACAGCTCTCCATCAGGGGCCTTGGTACCTATAGTAGAGGAAATGTATTTGAATATCTGTATGGAGGCTTTGCCCCAGAGGTCCCAGTTGCCCTTAATGGGCTGCAGCTGTGATGTCCTTAATTGGGCTGCAGCTGTGACCAGTGAAGATAACTGGGATAAAAGGGGGGCGGGTTGGCCAGTCAGGGAGAGCCTTGGAGGAGCCCTGACCTGCGAGAGAACAGCATGCAGAAGAAGGAGTCAGTGAAGATCTGCAGCCATGAGAATATGCCAAAGAGGTATGGACTTTAGAAGTCTGATAATATCATTATGGGACTCTAGAGAAATACTAGAACAACAACAGGTACCTGCACTGCCTTTTAGAATTAAGAGCTATTTTCCCTCACAGCAGCCCTAGGGGCTTTGTAACTACAGGTTCTGCACTCAGGGTTTGGGCAGCTTGGGTTGGGTGGAGCAGTCACAACAGGGAGATGGAAATTTTGGTGCTAGGCACCACAGAGAAGCTGTGGGAGTTACAAATGCCCTGAAGCCCTAGCTCAAACCATGCTGGCTTCTTAAATTCCCTGTTTTCTTTCAACAAAGACAGCAGAGATACCCCTTTGATACAGCCATCAGAAAACCATGGCCCTGCACAGTCAGTCACAGTAGTCCATGACAAACAGCAGAACTCCCCAGAGTTCCCTCTGAGCCATAACACCAAGGCAGCCCCACATAAAGCCTGAGTTCACTGCTCAGCCTCTTGTCTCAACTCCCTCCCAAGTGTCACAGCCGTGCTGTGATTCAAATACTCCCCACTCTGTGAGGGCCCAAAGGCCAGAGTCCCTTCCCAGCTCCACAGCCAGCTGTGCCTGCACGTGTGTTCCACATCACACTCTGTGCTCCAGCAGCCTCTGCTCGTGTTCCATTACCCAGCTGCAGCTTCATGCCAGCTGACTGTAAAATGAGTGGAGATTACATGATCTGTTTTCCAATGGATTCATACAGCCCCCGTGCAGGAACTGCCCTCAAAATATTCCCAATACCCACTGGAGCACTCCAGCCTGTTTTGGAGGATGGAGAAAAGCTCCTGCTTTCCCTGCAGGACCAACCCCTGCCTGGCTCCTGCTGCTGCTCAGGCTGGGCACTCCTGTCACCCACCACCCTCACAGGTGACTGGGAAGGAGGCACTGTGCTACAAGGGTCCCTCCATCACACCTCCCACCTCTAGCCCAGTGCCACGTGTGTTTCTCTGCTTCCCAACTTGCCACATCCCTCCTCTCCCCCACAGCTGTCTGTGGGCTCAGAGCAGGATCCTCAGTGGCAGCCTGGGGCTGGGCAGCCCCAGCTCCCTGCCAGCTCCTCCTGCTGTTCCTCTGCCAGCTCAAGCTGGCACCAGTGTGGAGAAGGTCACTGCTGCCACTCTGTACCTGCAGCACAAGCTCCAGTCTTTGCTGTGTCTGGGCTGTGCCTTTTGCACTGTCTCCCACTGGGTACTGACATGAGGCTCACTGGGCACCCCCTGGGCCAGTGGCACCTGTGTGCACTGAGAAGTGGTCACTCACAGGGACAGTGTCAGTTCTGGGTGTGTCAAAGCCAGACTGTTCCCACAGGTGTGAACAGAAACATCTGTATTTTACAGCTCATCTCACAGTTCACAAAGGGATTTTGGGGATTCCCTATGCCATGCTCTTGTGCCCATGTGCTCACACCCTGCCTCAGCTCTCTCCCATGCAAATGGTACAACCTGACTTTCCACAGCAGCACAGACTGAGCAGTTTGCCAATAAATAAATCCATCTTATATTCAGAAAGAGTCTGGATTTGTAACTGGTCAAGACTAAATACTTTCCACTCCAATAAAAGCTCGAGAGGATATTAAAGAATATCACCAAAATGCCAGCTGGAAGACACCCCCAAAGTCTAGCCCAGCATCCTGCTCCAGCAGAAGTATTGCTAATGCTGTGGAGCTTTTTCAAACCCTTCCAAGATGGAGATCCCTCCAGATGCTTGGGCAATCTGTCCTGGGCTGCACCACGCTCCCAGGGAGGAGGCTTTCCCAAAAGTCCAACTAGAATCTACAAGGCTGTCCTTGGGGCTCACAGCTCCAGAGAAGGTGGGCACTGCCCTCACTTTTTGGGCAAGGAACATTTATGGGACACAATCAGCATGAGATGGCACTTCTTGGGGCACCAGCACTGTGCTTGAGTCCCTCTGAAGCTGCACAGCTGTGTCTGCTGACAGATGTGCACATCCAGATGCACTGATGGAAGATTATTGCTTTCCACTGCTCATCATTGTTTTCCCCTCCTCAAGTTGCAAGAGCTGCCCCTCCAACAGCACTGTTGGAGTGTTCCTACACACTAAAAAGAAAAGAATTCTCTCAGACTAGCAATTCAAATAGAATTAGTTTGTTTCTGGCCAAGGAGATATCCCTGCCACAGCACTGCTTGAAACCAGAGCAGAATTGTCCAGAGCTCAGTGCTGCCCATGAGCATTCCTCAGTGAGGGAAGGATCTCACCCCCCAGTCTCAGAGCAAAACAAATGGACCCTGAAAGCAGCTCCACACCCATGGCTTGGGAGAGAAGCCATGAGTGAAGCCTCCAGCTTATCCAGCCTTCAAAAGCACTGCTAATGTGCAGTGAGGAAGGCTTGGTGTGCATTACTGAGGATCTAGCTCAAAAAGAACTTGTCTCCTTCTCCTGGATGGACATGCCAGCCCTCCTGTAACTGCAGCTTAGGAAATAACTTGGATTTAAATTCCCATTCCATGTTAGGAGGGTTAATACAGCCAATGCTGGAGCCAAGCTTTAGTAATTCCTTATTTCCCCTTAAGGCTTCTGCCTTCAAACATGGGCTATGCAGGGCCCTGGCCAGGCACCAGCACTCTGGGCTGTCTGTGTAACAAGGGACAGGCACTCAGAGGCACCAGCACAGGAGAATGTGCCAGGCTGAGCTTTATTGCTGTGCTGGAAATAGCCCATCCCTCTGTGTGCACACACAGCATCCTGGGAAGGGCAAACACCACAGGATATTTGGGGCACCAGCTGTGCATTTCCAGCACTTTGCTCTGAGGCAGCTGTGAGAGCAGAGCTGCTGGCAGGGCTGGGGCAGTGCCTGCATGAGGGTAATGAGGGAGATCAGCTCCTGCAGGCAGCTTCACCATGGCTTTTTCTCTTTCATTGAGAGCAACAGATTTACTCACTCATCTCTGATGGTTATGACACAGAGGAAAATACACCTACAAGTTGTGGTGTGTAAAACCAAGAGGGTCTGGCATGAACATTCCTACATGAGCACTGCAGCATCTGCCCACAGGACCCATCTGTTTATTGTTTATTTACTGTTTAATCTGTTTGTCCCTCAATCTTGCCTCAGAGCACTCTGCACTTGTCAATTCAATCTGTAGTAGACTGGAAATTCTGACCTGGTAAGGCCTGGGGATTTGCAAAAGAACCTGAGGCAGCAGCAAACTGCACGACAAACAACACTCAGCTGGTTTCACAAAGAAATCAAATCAGTCATTTCTTGCATCTGCAATTCCCAAGCTTCCAAGTGGCTCTTTTACCCAGCTGAGGGTATGAGAGGGGAGCAATCACCACATCCTTTCCTCTCACTAGGATAACAGGCATAAGAATCTGCATCGCCCCTGAACTGGTCCAAGGAGTCCCCCACAAATTCTGTCTTAAGATATTAAATATGATTTTGTTGTTACTTTGCTTCCTCAGTGGTTTTGTAATGACTTTGTTGGTAATAAAGAGAAAAACACTTCAGAGTTCTCAAGTGGCCAATGTTGCCTCCCAGTCAGAGCATATTCTCTGAAGAGCTGCAGAAGATGAAGGAGACAAATAATTCAGAGAGCAGTAACTACCCACAAGTTTTGAGAGCTCTGTCAAAGTCCCTCAGCTGTACTCTGCCATAGACAGGAAAGCATCTTCCTGCTATTACAATTTCCCTGGACTACCTCCCTGTATCCATCCTAGGGCAAGAACCAGGTTTTCAGGGAATCACCAACTGAATCCAAAATACAGAACAGCTGCAGTCCTTGCCTCAGGTGGTTTTCTGCCCCACAAGTATGAAAATCAGTGGAAGTTGCATTCCAGTGATGCCACTGAGTTTTGAAATCCTTTGGAAGAAAAAGTATTTCCCCCCCCTCCCTGCTTCCCAGATGGCTGCTTAGGAAGTCATTCTGCTTTTACCACGTGCAGAACCACACAGTGCCTGCTTTTGTTGAGTGCAAATGTGTAACAACAAAATGTGTGCTACTGATCACACATCCTAATGCCTTTAGCTTAGCTAAGCTAAGCAGTGAGCTCTCATCACTGCTAAACACACCTTGGGACACTCTGGAAAAGTATTCAGGCTGGCTCTGTGTCTCATGTTTCCATGGAGTTTACAAACCATAAAATTAAGGAGAGCTGGCTTGGAAGTACCAATGGACACAGAATGGCAGCATCAGCATCCCTGGGTCTCTGCCTTGCCTGCTGAGATGGGTGTTTTAGGCTGTGCAGTTTTGTGCCTGCCATGTGTGGACAGTGAAGTCCAGCCCTACTCCCTGATGCTCCCTCACACACCCAGGACTCTTTTGTTACCAGGTGTTCTTGTGCCACCAAGATTAGTTTGTATTACAGATGAAATCCAGGAGCAAACCCCAAAGAATTTCTCCTCCAAATGCCCAGGCTAACAGGATTTGCTCAGACTCCACACCAATCCTTCCATAAAGCAGGAGGATAAGGAACAATGGTTGCATCCTGGCCTGCTCACCTTGCAAACATGCGGAGATCCTCTGGATTCTGGGCAGCTGGGACATTCAGGATGGCTTCCCTCTCGTGCTCCAACAGGCTTGCCAGGAGATTCTCTGTCATCCTCTTATTTAGGGGTGAGTCCCCACCAGGTATCAGCTCAGCACTGGAGTTATCCATGCTAGGGCTTGTCAGAGTCATGTCATCACTGCTGGCTATCAGGACAAGAGAGAGACACACATACACATGAAATTTTTGTATTCCTCAGCATAAGGATGCAAAGTTTATCAATTCAGGCTGTTTCTGTGCAGCCTTTCCAACTAATCCCTCTTCTCTGGAGAGCAGGAGAAAGTGGCTCTCCAAGTGCTCCATGAATCTGCAATTAGTCATATGACAACACAGCGATTTTCTCAATGGGAAATTCAAATGTTTCAACAGAGTCATCAATTTGTGTGGAAAACTGTATTTCTGGAGACCATAAACAGTCCATAAAAAACATTTGAAAAGAGAATTCCCAGACAGCTGTGCTGGAATACCGTGAAGTGGTAACATGAAAAGCCTAACAGCACAGAAGGTGGGAGCAGGCAGAGAGGCCAAGAAGCAATATCCTCTTGTGAGGGAGCCAGAAAAAGCAGATCACAGACTCATCTGACTCACTTTCCAAGATTTCTGCCCTAATTCATGACTCCTGTAAAGCTCAAAGTTGTACAGAGCATCTCTCCCCATATCCAAGCCCAGTGGTGTTCTGAGAAGGCTGCTCAGAACAGCCCAAGCAGGAAAGTTTGGTGATTTCAGCATTAAATCTGACTCATCCTCTTGAAAGAATGCTTTCCTGGAATCACCCTGAAAAACTGGCACTGGGGAGATTAAAGAAATGAGGGGATACAAACAGAAATCAATCATGTGTGAGAACAAAGCCAGCTCTGTGTCTCCTCAGGTGGCTCTAATGGCTCTACAGCCCACAGAAACCAATGCTGCTTGAACAAATTCTCTCATTTTCTTTCTGGCCTGAAAACCAAAATCTGCCAGAGGAACACAGGGGATAATTCTGAGTGCAGCAAGGGAGGACAAAGTTACTTTTAAAAACAAAGAAGTACCTCTCATAAAAATCTTTTACATTAGATGAGAATTTGGCAAATTACAAAGCATTACTTCTTTCTAAAAAGAAGCCAATAGCCCCTAGGACTTTCACCAGTGCCCAGCTCTAAATTTAGGAAAGGCTGGACCTAATTAGCAAGTACTGCAGCAAGAGGAGATTCTCACTACCAAGGCTTGATGGCCTCAGCAGCACTAAGGGAAGCTCTAGCAGTGAGGTGCAGTCTGAAGAGCAGAGCAAAGTGTGCTCATACTTGGGGAGCCAAAGCTGAGAGCATTGGGGGTGCTCAAACTCCGTCCCCCAACCCTGGCAGTGAAGGGCACGTCCTCGTCCTGGGCTCGGAGCTCCTCCTCCTGCGGGGGCACCATCAGGCACACGTAGGTGTGCAGCTGGATCAGGAGCCGGTGCTGCAGCATCCAGATCACCATCTGGATCAGCTGGGTCTGCAGGGGGACAAACAAGGGGTTAAACACCTGGGAAATGAGATACAGGAGGAGAACAACACACAGAGGGTACACTCAGTGAGTAAGGAGTCACATGGAAAATGCTTCTAGCCCCACACTGAGTTTATTTGATCTCTTTTCCAGACACAAAACTTCCTCACACCCAGAGCCTCTGTGGGTGCTTAGGCTGCAGTGGAGCCTTTCATGATCCACATCTTTATGCAGCACTGACCAGCACAGCCTGAAGGAGCCTGCCCTGCCCCCCGCTCAGCTCCAAACCTGGTTCTGCACAAGGGCCACTAAAGTAAATCACCAAAGGGTTAATCCCACATGGTCAGACTGAAGTGCAGGCTCCTCTAGAGAGCCAGAGAGAGGGCAGGGTGATGGGGCAGAGCTGAAGCAACCAGGGGATGTGGCCAGGAGCCCTTTGCTGTCAGGTGGGAAACTGCTGATTAGCCATGGGAGAGCTCTGGAGATCAGAGCCTGACAGGGCTGGGCAGTACAGAAACAGCAGCAGCAGCACAAGCCCTGGCAGGGGACAGCAGCCTGAGCTGCCAGGAGTCCCCTCTCCATGCAGAGTCACCATCCCTCATTTCAGCTCCCTCTGCTACACAGGGCCAAGCTAATAAAGGCACCTGGGTTTCCAGGCAGGCAGAGACTCAAAAGCAATGAGATGCATTAAACATTGCCCAACACCTGCTGGAGACCTGCACCATGGGCAGAGAGAGGGACAAGGGTTTGGAGGGTCTGCTTTCAGAAATCTGGGAGGAGCCTTCAAAATGCATCATTGTGAGTTGATTCCTGCATGAAAAGCCTTTTCATATCACTGCAGGCAACTCTCATAGCAAAGGGCTCAGAACACAATCCCTGACAAGGCTGCTTGGGGATTTCATAGCAACCAGCACTGTTTTGGTGAGACAAACACATGCAGCATGAGCTCAGGCTCAGAAGGAAGCTCTCCCTGCTGCATTAATCATCAGGGTACCCCGCCAAATCCCAATAAAAGCCCCAAACCCAAGTTCATCAGCCCACATAATTTTCCTTTTTCCATAAATCTGGTAATTCTCAGTTCCTCCTCTGCTATCAAATCACAAAAGAAACCTCTCTGTTTGCAGACAGACCCACACCCTGTCTTTTCAGAGATTACCACTTCTGGGGGCTCAGTGGATTTTAATCTTAAAACTTTTTATCTGGGATCGCCTTCAAACATCTATTTTTTGGAAAAGCCATAATTAATTTTACATGTTTAACAGAAAATCTACAGAAAAGGAAGGTTGGCAAAAGACACTAAAGACATAATGCTTTGCTAACATCTGAAGCCAGCCTGGAAGAGTGAGGTTTACTCCAGCAATTATGTTGCTGAAATCCTTCCTTCCAGATGCAGGTCTGGATGGAAAGATGGCTCATTTATTTTACTTCAATTTCCAACCTGTTGGCACGCAGCAACGTCTGATTAGCAAATGAAAGAGGTCTGCACGTTTCAGAGCACAAAACAACTCTGGAAAAATCCAAGGAGACAGGAAGACAGGCTCTACCTGTCTACAGAGCAGTGGGTAGGGCCTGACCCAGACCAGCCTCCCCTGGGCACTCTGGTGGTTCCATGAATTGCAAAAATGGCCAATTTCTTTTGTTGCAGCTCCATGTGCATGGAGAGTCTCATCCTGCATGTGCACCATCACCTCCACACCCTCATGGAAATACCTGGAAAGCCACCCTGAGCCAGCAGCTATGGCCCAGTGGAACAAGAAGCCAGGCAGCAGTGGTGTTACAGCTTTACAGCCACAACCTTGTGCAAACAGCCCCTGCCAAACACCTTTGTGCCATCTCTGGGTAGGAGAGCTGGAGATCTGGGGCTACCCTGAGAACCAGAGGGAAACTCTTCTTCCATCCTGAGGTAAACTTGAGCAATCATCCCTAGACCAGAGACTGATGATCCCTGACATTTTTCTGTACAAGCCAAACTTCAGCAGGAATTTGGCAACTCTGAAAACCCAGTCCTAGCAAAAGCCCAAGTGCTGCAGCATCGTGCACTGGCCCCTGCCCATGTGATGAGCTTTGTGCCAGCACTGCAAGTGCCTCACACCATTCCCACTTCCTCCAGGGTTAGACCCATTTCTTACCAAAGGCAGAGGTGTTTCCCAGATCAGCTCTAGCAGAGGCTTTGCACACACATTCTGCTGTCTGTGTTTCTGGACACCAGCACTGCCTTTCCACCCATTGTCCATCTGCTGCTCCCAAGCTGCCATGGAGCTCACCCAGGGCTGCAGGAGCAGAGGTTTCTCTGCACCATGTGTGCTGTGCTGGCTGAAATGCTGCTCCTCCCCACAGGGCCAGGGTTCTCCCTGTGCCTGCTCTCAGGGCACTTCCTTAGAGCTGGGCTCCTTGCTGAAGCCACGGGGGCTGGGAGCAGCTTTCCAGGCAGGGCTGTACTTCATCCCAGGACTGCTTGCCTCAGTCATGCTCTGGCACAGCAGGAATCCAGAGCCAGCCTTTTTTGGCTGAAACACCAGGACTGTGATGGAAATATAAAGTGAAACATTTTCTGTTGCTTAATTTAACTACCAATTCAATCTAAATTTTATCCATGTTCCTTTCATGCTTCCTGTCTGCCCGTGCTGCCTCTTTCCAGCCTGCTCAGAGGGGGTCCTGTCTGCTGCAGCAGCCACATCTGGCCTGTTCCTGCTGGCACAGAGCAGCCCAGGCCATTCCCAGAGCAGTGCCAGGGTGTTGTCATGCAAGGCTCTGGTACAATGGCCTGCTCTGTGCTCACTGGCTTCCAAAAACACAGCACTGCACATCAGCCCAGCTGGGCACTTCAGGATGGCCAGAGGAAAGCTCAGCCCCAAGTCTTGGAGGAACAAGATCCAGCATTCCTTATTCTCTGGGGCCATTTGTAAAACTCTTGAGAAATGTGTTACATTTCCTGCAAGGATTTTTTAAGGCTGTTTTCTTTCCCAGGCCTAAAAAATTAAGGGTAACTGGGAGCAGCAACAGGTTCAGGAAAGGGAAGGGAAAACAGCAGCCTAGAAGCACTAAATCCCAGTTTGTTTCTCACCATGTGAGGAGACAGTGAAAATACAGCTTGTTTTGCCTACTGAAGCACACAAGCCCCTTTTCTCCAGCCTGGATTATCCAGTTATTTGATACAAATCCTCTTCAAGGTCTGACTGGAGAACTGAGGGCTGCCTTGGCTCAGCATGATGACACCTTCAAAGCCTCTGGGGTGCAGGGATGTTTGCTGAAATGTATTACCTTCCTTTAGCATTCAAACCATGCTGTTTCATGGAAAACACATAAGCTATGAAAACTTCTCCCTGTTTTACAGGAAACAGACTCTGCAAACTCCTCCTGATGCAGGATGAAACATTTACTGTCTAATATTGCCATTTTAATCATTAGTTAACAGCTGTGAATTCTCAGTTTAACCATTCCCTCCATTCAGGCCTAGCATGAGATATTCTTTTAACTTACTGTGCTAAACCCCTGCTTTCATACCCAGTCCAACTGAATATAAATGCATCTGAATCCCACTTCCCTACTTCTGCCAAAAAAGCTCCCTGATGTCTTGCAGCACAGCAGCCCCACGTGCAGCATGGCTCCCTAAAGACACAGCTGCCCATTCAGGGTGTGCAGGCAACTCAGCTCCCCTCCCACTCCATCCCCTGACACATTTTCCTGCCTCATTTTCCATCAGCCCTGCACAAAGCTTGACATGTTTTCAGCAAGCACAAGGCAGAGGCCTCATCTCCCTGTGCCTGACTCCCAGACTGACTGAGACAAAAGTGAAAAGTTAAACAGATTTTGTTCAGCAGCAGCTGTCTTTGCTTTCCCATCTGCTGGGTTTGGTTTTTTTTCCTGCAGTTATCGACATCCCATCAAGGGAGAATAAAAGAACCACAACAATAATGACAGTGTGCATTATGATAAAGGAGATGCAGGAAGGAAATGGGATGCCTAATTCACCTGGGAACACTCCTTACAGGTGAGAAGATCCCTCCTGCTAGTCCATGTTTGTTCAAGGCAGGGCACAGAGGTGTTACAGCTTCTGAAGCAGATAAATTGGCTGAGGTTACAGTGCAGAGGAGGGGAAGCCACAATCATCATCCCTAACTCTTGGTTTGCAAAGCACCTTGTGCACAGTAGCTGGGTAAAGAAATTTGATGCTGGATAAAGAAATCCTTATCCTGAACAGCAGGTCAAAGCCTCCCCCTGCAGCAGCAGCAGTGCCTGGGACACATCCTGCCAGTGAACAGTGCTGACCTGAAGGCTTTGGGTCACCAGGTGCTCCTGTGCTTTCCCAGGAGGTTTGGAAGGGGTGCAGAGCCCAGTGAGCAGCCCCAGAGCTGCAGCCCAGCATGCCCTGCACTCACAGCAAGGCTGTGACACTCACAGGAGGAGGAGAGCACAGGGGCACGAGCCCACAGCCACAGGCAGCAGAACAAGGACAGCTTCTTTGGGCTCAGGGCAGGGGAGATGCAAAGTGCTCCTCTTCCAGCAAAAACACCACAAGGCAAGGTGAGTTCCCTTTGGTGTGAGCTCACACATCTCCCCACCCTGTGGCTGCACCCTGCTGAGATCCAGGACAAACCCAGGCACTGCAGCAAGGCCTGGTGACAAAGTCACAATGGAGCTAAGGGACAACTCCCTGTGAAATGAGGAGAACAGCTTCTGCTTCCCTCACCCCCCAGCTGCACAGCTCTGCAGAAATCACCTCCCTCCCTCTGTGCCAGCCCTGCAGCTCACTGGATGTGCCCAGGTGAATTCCACCTGCTCACCTGGCAGAACCCTTCTGCAGCTGGAACAGGTTAAATGAACAGAGGCCAGAGCTCTAGGAAAGGGAAGAGGGAAGGGAGGAAGGCTCACATGTGCACACACCTGGGAGGGGGAAGGAAAAGCAGAGCCTCAGCTCAACAGCACCAAGATCTCTTGAGGTCAGCTGAGCTGGGGGCATGGGCTCATCCTCACCCTGCTGCTGTCCCAGGGAATCCAAGGGAAACACAGAGAAAGGGAAGCAGCAGGAAGCACTGCAAGGATACCAAAACCTCAACTAACAGGTGCACACTGACCTGGGTTCCACTGCAATAACTGCTCCTCACCTCAGGCAAGAAAAGAGATCAGGATGACACAACCAAGAGTGTGGCCATCAGTCTGTGGCACAGGGCACACTGAGAGCACTGGCAGGCCTGGCACACACCTCTCACCTGACACCTCCCACTACCTGACAGGCAGACAGCAACAGCAGCACACAGCCATGCACTCCCAAGGCAGCCCTGTCCTTGATCAGGTTGTTCACATCTCCTACCAGCCCAAAAATACCACAGCACACCAAGTAGAAAAATGAGTGTCACTTTTTTTCATCTACCCAAAGGAAGAGAGGAATTCCACTCATGTAATGGTAATTGAACAAAAATAACTTTGTCCCCTTTCAAATCAAGCAATATTTTTGTATAAAAACAGGAAGGGCTCTGAGAGCTCTCCTATTTCCTATGGAGGGCTTTATTAATGCCTTCTGTATTCTTTACCCATCCAGAAGCACATGCCAAAAGCAGGGAGCCAATCCCATGCTTAAGAGAAGAATCAAATGGGATGGATGCCATGGATGCCACGAGGCCACAGCAGTTTCTGAGGTTCACCCCCTGCCACAGCACTGCCCCTCAGCACAGTGACCTTCAGGAGCACAAACAGTGCCCTCAGCCTGATGAAAAGCATGAGATAACAGAAAACCACTGGAAATCTTTAAAGCTAAAAAACCTCACATCCCCTCCTGTGCACACAAAGAACAAAACTACAGAGGGAAGTCCCACCTTTGCTAATTTTTTTCAAAGGCAAAGCGAATACATTTTGACAATATTTACAGTTCAGAGTACAACATCTTCTATCACAGCACGGTGGAACAAAAACCCACCCACATTTCATTAGATTAATTGCTGTATTGATTAGATCTTTTGTAATTACAACTGGAGCCTGAGCACTTCAGGGCAAGGATTGGAGTCACGTCTCTTAAAAGACTGAAAAATGAAAAAATAACACAAGAAGTCCTACATAGGTAAATCAGAGTAGAAGAAAATGTACTGATACAAAAATACATAAAAACTTGCTCTAATCTAAACTCCCCTAAGAACTGCCACACTTTGCTTTATCAAAAAGCCACAACTTTTCCCTGCATCATCCTCCACCCTTCCAATAAGGCTGAAAGGAGGATGAAAGCTGTGCTGGTGATCCTTAGGACCCCACACACACAGGTGAGCAGCAGGGGGAAGGTACACACTCTAAAAAACACTTGAGCACTCCATCAGCTCTGGTAAGCATTTACTGCACCCTTGTTTCAAGGCATAACTGCAGCAGTAAGTGACAGACACTTATTTATGTATTTTAAACAAAAGTAGGGCGTCTGAGAACAACCAGAACTATTGAAGGAGAAGTATTAAGGCAAGTAATTAATTTTAAAAGGATTACTGAGAATGTCTCCTGAAGCTACTGCAGCTATAATAAAATTAATGCTATGACTTCAGCTTCAATTTTCAGGATACTTATTTGTCTGTAACTAGAGTGGAGTCCTGCTCTTCCCCTGCCTCCCAAGGTTGCAGCTGACCAGTACATGCTACTGGAATTAGACTTACATCATTACTTATTTTTATCTCTGATCATCATCTCTGTGAACCTGTAATTACAGCCAATTCTTCCCTCCCAGCTGTGCTGGAGTGCACAGGTGATGATAATCCCTATATCTGAGCAGGGGCTAAAGCCATGGAGCCACCAGGGCACCCAAGTCTGAAGGCCTGCAACAAACACCAGGAGAAGGCAGCCAAAGAACTCTGCCTGTGCTTCCTCTGCCACACTGAGGCACAGCCACAGTCCAGGCTCCTCCATCTGGGAACAGAGCAGAGTCAGCCAGGAGACCTCACATTATTGAGCTCCTTCCTGTGTTCCACCAGTTCCCAGAAACGCCACAAGCCATGATCGATGCACAAGCAAAACAGCTCACAAATCCCAAATCCATATTTTATTAACACAGTTCTTTGCTCTCAGAAGCTAATGCAGTGACACATGGACTTCTGCTGACCCCATGCTGAGCCTACTTCCTCCAAAAGCCTTTTAACAATTCCACTTTTACAGCAAAACCAAGTGAACAGACAGATTGCTTTTAAAAACAGATTGTGAGCTTGGAGCAGATGGAATAGAATGAAATCAAATGTGATTGTGAGGAATCCACAAACTTAATTCAGCCCTACCAACTGGTAACAGCTTGGGACAGACCAAATAGGGTTTCAGTTATCACACCATGAAAAGAAGCATTCTAATATTTCTTTTAGGACTGTGCTTTTCCAGCACAGAGCATCCTCTCACCTTGAACATCCCCACAGCTTTTTGGCACCAGGACATGAAACAACAAATCATAAAGCTGGAAACACAGCAACTGGGAACTTGTAAATGTGCAACAGCAGGTTCCTGAGCCAGTGCTCCAGGAGCAACACCATCCCTGTGGGCAGCAGGACAAGGAGCCCTGGGCAGTGCCCAGCAGTGCCCAAGGAGCCCAGGGCAGTGCCCAGCAGTGCCCAGCAGTGCCCAAGGAGCCCAGGGCAGTGCTCCAGGAGCAGCAGCATCCCTGTGGGCAGCAGAACAAGGAGCCCAGGGCAGTGCCCAGCAGTGCCCAAGGAGCCCAGGGCAGTGCCCAGCAGTGCCCAGCAGTGCCCAAGGAGCCCAGGGCAGTGCCCAGCAGTGCCCAAGGAGCTCAGGGCAGTGCCCAGCAGTGCCCAGCAGTGCCCAAGGAGCTCAGGGCAGTGCCCAGCAGTGCCCAAGGAGCCCTGGGCAATGCCCAGCAGTGCCCAAGGAGCCCATGACAGTGCCCAGGGCAGTGCCCAGCAGTGCCCATCAGTGCCCAAGGAGCCCAGGGCAGTGCCCAGCAGTGCCCAGCAGTGCCCAGCAGTGCCCAGGGCAGTGCCCATCAGTGCCCAAGGAGCCCAGGGCAGTGCCCAGCAGTGCCCAAGGAGCCCAGGGCAGTGCCCAGCAGTGCCCAGGGCAGTCCCCAGCTCCGTCCCCAGCTCACCTCTTGCATGGGTGGTGCAAGCGGGTTCTTGAACTCGGCCAGGGACACCGGGAGGGAGAACTTGGCCAGCATGGAGGGCAGGTTGTGACCCCGGAACTGACAGGAGAAGGCATCTGCCAGGGGAGAGTACCTGCAGCAGAGAGGCAAAGGCACAGATCAGCTCTGCAGTGCTGTCAGGGTAACTGGGATCCCACTGAGCACTGCAGAAGTGCCAATTCCCCAGTGTAATATTGCCTGTGATCCAGAAAACCCCAAGCATAGCTGATGGCATGTTGTGTCCTGCAGAAGGCACCCAGGAGCTCATGCACTTTCACCTCAGCCTTTCATTCAAGGCATGAAGGAAATCCAGAGGAGAAAAATGAAAGGGATAAAATTCCAGACCTGTGCAGCCTCTGGTGAAAGGGACAGAGCTTGGGCAGGGCTGGGCAGGATACACACTCGACCTCTGAATGTGCCAACTGCAGCTGCAGATGTGGCTGTGCCCCCTCCCTGTGCTGACAGGTCAAGAAATATGACTGAAGTGAAGGATAGACAAGTTAAATATCAGGAAAGCTGTCTGTCTTAGCATTTCCATCTCCAAAGGTCTTCAGGAACAGCACTGCCATATTTGACACAGGCACAGTTGTTGCTGAATGACCTCAAGGTCCCTTCCAGCCCTATTTTTATACTTCCATCACCAAAGTTTTGATTTAAAACTATTTTCCTATAACTGAGTTCCAACACAGAGTCTAAAAGCATCTCAAAATCCAACAGAGGAAGGGTTGCCAATCTTCAGCAGAGCAAAAATACCCACCCCTGCCTCCACATCTTCCTTGCAGTGGCTCTGCCTCTCTCCAAATGGCCATGGTGCCTTCTGTCTGTGACAAGGCACACAGCATGGAATGGCAACATGTGAAACAACACAATGGCAACTTTTCCTACTTTTGATTCATGTCAGAGAGCCCTATAAACCACTCCTTTAACTTAATCATAAAGTATTTTGGTTTGTAAATGTTCCCATATTGGACATTCAGTGAGCAGGACTACTAAAAATACTGACAGCAGCTCCACAGGGTAAATATTGCTTCCAGCACCACAGAGGAATATTGATCTGCTCTGCTGCTCCTCCCTGCCCACACTGACTGTGCAAGTCCAGGCTCATGTAATGGTTTGTGTTGCACAGTCTCAACCAATTCATGAAGAAAGATCCCACTCTGTATCAGTCAGGGAAGGAAAATGCATCTGCACTCCTCAGCCCTGGGCTGCCACCAACACATTTTCCTTCTACTTACAGGCAGACACTGGCATTTGGAGAAAGCATGTAGACATTGTTTTCACAAAGAGGATAAATAATAATTGCTTTGCCCCAGTAAACAAGATGTGCTGCAAGCTGGAAAACCTGTATGGAGAAAACAGGGAAAAATTAGGGGAGCAAAATCAATATACAAACTCTCAGCAAGTGTTGCATACAACAAAAAAGTCTTATTTGAGTTGAAATGAAAGAAAAATGTTCCATCCTTTCACCCAGCCTTCAGAATAAATTCATGGTTTACTATAACATGTGGCAGATCAAAAAGCATTTGACAAGGTTATGAATTTCCAGAGATTCGCTTCACATTTCTAAGCAACTTAGTATTTCCTGCCTCAAAGGAATTCCTCCAAACTGTATCAATACAAGTTAAGTTTATTTTCATGCCCCCCAAAAACTATTTCTCTTTATGCACAAAATGCATTGTTATACATGAAAAATAAAACAAAAGAATCAGCTCCTACTATGACAGAAACATAAAGGAAACCACCACTGCCTTTTTACTGCACAGAGGTATTTCAGTAATGAGCTACATAAAGTATTTTAATGTGTTAAACAAGTCAGTGGTTGCTAATGGCCCTGGAAAAGCCACATAAATAGTGTCTACAAGACATAAAATCCAGCCTGTATCATTAGATGCATTTAACTGTGCTTTTTTGTGGAGAACAAAACTACAGAAGCAGTAGGGAATTTCCAGAGTTCATCCCATAGCCAAGTAACACCACAGAGCACTGCAGGCAGACCTGGAGTTTTATTACAAAGCAGGACCTTTCCCTTGGAACAGGAGAAGGCCCTGCCCTATGACCAGGAGAACATGTGATGATGAGCTGTGTTTCCCCTGTCACACAGAGCACAGGTTGTGTCCCTGGGTCTGGATCGACCCTTAGGAGCCTGGAGCAGCCCTTCCCTCACTGGGATCATCTCGTGTAATCATCCCAAATGATCACAGTCATCCACAGGGGTCTCTCAGTGGCCTCACAACTCATGTGAGAGCCAGAGTCTCATCCCTCCACTGGCACAAACTTCCCTTTCCAAGGGCTCATCACATCACCCTCAGCAGTTCAGATTTGAGAGCTGGTTGTCACTACTGGAAGGGCATTTGGAAAGAGCTGCTGGCTTGGGGAGACTGGCTCCAAATCTGTGCCCAAGCCTAAAATAAATCTTCTTCCCATGACTGCCAAGTCTGTGCACTAATGGACTAAGGGAAATGGATGGGAAGGTTTGTACAGGCATTCACAAGCCTTTGGTAGAAAAGATCTTGGCAGCTCCAGGGGTATTTGGCCACAGCAGCTGTAAACCTGCACCTGCATTTTGGGTGCTTCATTTGCATGTAGACATCACTGAACAGGACCAAGAGAGGCCACTGTGGTGTCAGTCAGGAGTACAACCTGCTCTGGTTTTAACTACCAAACAGGAGACACAGAGCAGACAGAGCCACTGCCCTCAGAGGGACACAGGGACAGGTCCTGAGGCAACACAAATAAGGAGAAGAATGGGAAATTCCCCTTAGATAAGGGGAAAGGTTTCACTCTGATGCTGGTCAGATGCTGGACCAGAGAGGCTGTGGGAGGCAGCCCTCACAATGAGGTGCTCGCAATTTGAAGAGAAGTTTTTCATCAGCCTGTTTTAATGGACTTCTCCTGAGCAGTGGTGAGGACCAGAGAGCCCTGGGATGGGGACTAGAGAGCCCTGGGGATGGGGACCAGAGACACCTGGGGATAGGGACCAGAGACCCCTGGGAATGGAGTCCAGAGACACCTGGAATGGGGACCAGAGACCCCTGGGGATAGGGACCAGAGAGCTCTGGGGATGGGGACCAGAGACACCTGGAATGGGGACCAGAGACACCTGGGATGGAGACCAGAGAGCCCTGGGGATGGGGACCAGAGACACCTGGAATGGGGACCAGAGAGCCCTGGGGATGGGGACCAGAGACACCTGGGGATGGGGACCAGACATCCCTGGGATGGGGACCAGAGAGCCCTGGGGATGGAGACCAGAGACACCTGGGATGGGGACCAGAGACACCTGGGAATGGGGACCAGAGAGCCCTGGGAATGGGGACCAGAGACACCGGGGAATGGGGACTGGAGACACCTGGGAATGGGGACCAGAGAGCCCTGGGAATGGGGACCAGAGAGCCCTGGGAATGGGGACTGGAGACACCTGGGATGGGGACCAGAGACACCGGGGAATGGGGACCAGAGAGCCCTGGGATGGGGACTGGAGACCCCCAGGATGGGGACTCCCATCTGAGACAGGATGTGGCTGCAGGGCTGCCCAGCACTGTCCCTGCACCCCTGCCCTTTGTTTCTCCAGCCTCTCCCCAGGCTCCAGGGCTGGCACCTTCTCCCTGCTCTCTGCTCACACCAGGAGCTGCCATGCTCCAGCCCCACACGAGCCCAGGGGCACACAGGAGAAAACACCTCGTGATTTAAAAAGCTCTCAGCAGCTGCTGACAGCTCCCCATACCTGCAGCAATGCCAAGTCAGCATCTTGAGCCAGTTGCTGCAAATTCTTCACAGCAGAGGTAGTTTTAATTACTCTCACCAGGGCAGGAGAGCAGTCCAACGGGAGCTCATTAAGCAATGACTTCTCATCATTTAAAAGTAATAAGGCATGGTAAGGCCTGCAGAAAAATAGAATACATTTGCACAGTAAACTGCAGCTTTTCCTGAAGGCTTTGTTATTTCTACACCATGATGCCTGGGGTCAATGTAATGGTAAAAAAAGAATTTCTAATATCATCCTTTTGCTCTAACTGGGTTCAAAATCAGCTTATTTTTATGTTACAGCATAAGAGGCTCCCTGTGAAAAGGAGACAGAGGGTTATATGGTAACTGGATACCCCAGTGACAAAGGAAAAAAGACTGCACTGCATTGGCACACAATTGAGAACAAGTCTGAAAACTGCTCATCTGCAATACTGAAATACAGAATGGAGTAGAAGAAAGGAAGAAAGCAGAAGTTAATTACTTTTGCAGGTAAGCAAACACAGGAAATAAGGTATCACAGGACCTGGGCTCTCTTTCCTCCAAAAGCAGAATTACTTCTGGGCCAACAGATTAAAATGAACACATAATTCCTGGCTGCAAACAGTGCAGGCCACTTCTGCAGCATCCCCTCAGTACAACCACCTAAAGAGAACACCAAGGCTGTGGCTTCCAACCACCATGAATCCAGCAGCCCCACAGAGCCACAGCAGCAGCTCCAGGGACAACCTGGGGACAGTGTGGCTGGACAGTGCTCAGGCAGAAGGGACCTGGGGGTGCTGGTTGACAGCAGCTGGACATGAGCCAGCAGAGTGCCCTGGGGGCCAAGAAGGCCAATGGCTCCTGGCCTGGGTCAGGAATGGTGAGGCCAGCAGGAGCAGGGAGCTCATTCTGCCCCTGTGCTCAGCACTGCTGAGGGCACACCCTGAGAGCTGTGCCCAGCTCTGGGCCCTCAGTTTGGGAAGGACCTTGGGACACTGAGCACATCCAGAGGGGCAGCGAGGCTGGAGAGGGGCTGGGAACACAAACCCTGTGAGGAGCCCCTGAGGGAGCTGGGGGTGCTCAGCCTGGAGAAGAGGAGGCTCAGGGGTGACCTCATTGCTCTCTACAATTCCTGAAGGGAGGCTGAGGACAGGTGGGGTTGGTCTCTCCCACAGGGCAGCACTGACAGAACCAGAGGACACAGTCTCAAGCTACAGCAGGGAAGGTACAGGTTGGATATCAGGAAGAAATTTTTCAGAAAAGAATAATAAAGTACTGGAATGCCCTTCCCAGGGAGGTGGTAGAATCACCATCTCTGGGTGTGTTTAAAAAAAGCCTGGACATGGCACTTGGTGCTACAGTCTGGGTGAGGTGTGAGGGCACAGGTTGGACTCGAGGATCTTAGAGGTCTCTGCCAACCTCATCATTCTGTGATTCTGTGATTCTGTGTGATTCTGTGTGATTCTGTGTGATTCTGTGATTCTGTGATTCTGTGTGATTCTGTGATTCTGTGTGATTCTGTGATTCTGTGATTCTATGATTCTGTGATTCTGTGATTCTGGGAGCTCTGTCTGAGCCCAGGCCCCCCTCCTCCACAGCCCAGTCACACCATCCCCCTGCCTGAGCCACCTCAGACATCTGCAGCACCACCCTTGGAACAGGAGCAAGGACTGGCCACACTCTGAGGGGCAGAGCTTGCTCTTACCTGATGGATTTCAGACTTCTCTCAATTGCTTCTGGGGGTATGAAGTTGGTGGCAACATAGTGGATTTTGTGAGGAAGGCAGAAACTCACTTCCAGCCAGTTGTTGATGTGTAAACGAACCACCCCTGTTGTGCAGAGACTAAAACAGGAAGGCAATCAATCCATACAGCATTTACCCTCAATCACACATGAAAACTGTGGTCCAGGGTCACCCCTGCACAGAAATCAGATCAGGACAGGAAAAGACTGAATGCACTCTGTCTGTGCCCAGGCTGGCTGAGGACCAGCTGACAGCTGCACATACAGAGCACCATCCCCTACAGCATTTGAGGGAGATTTGAGAGACTTCACCACTGACCTTCTGCTCCCTCTGCCCTTAACATTGCAGCAGTGTCTCAAGTTAAAGTAGTTTATTCAAGATCTACTGCAAGGCAAAGGAAAATCCTCTAGGCCAAAGCTGCAAAGATGAACTGGGCACAGTTTTCATCTCCAATTTCCATCTTCCCCTCCAAGCAAAAAGAAAAGAGGATGTCTGTACTGGGCAAGGGCTGTTCCAAGCAGCACATTTCCACAATAACAGCCTCCTTGTGTTCTGCTTAGGTTGTTTGTTTCCTTACTAACCTGCCCCTGCTTGTGACATGAAATCACAAACGTGCCTGTTACACGGTTTCTTCACTCCAGGAAACCACAGGGACTAAGCTAAGCCCTTCAGCTGACTCCAGCCAACAGGACTGGAGTGGAAGCAATGGATGTCCCAGGAATAATAAAGACAATAAAGTCAGACCCTGGCACTTGGCTGAAAGCAACAGTAAGCCTCTTTTACTTAAAAAAAACCCAAAAACCAAAAAACAAAACAAAACAAAAAAAAAACCCCAAACAAACAGAAAAGCTGGAGATTAGAGCCAGGATCATCATTCAGGTGCTTTTACAGAAGTCTGCCAGTCCAGACAAGAGGTGGAATCCACCTCAGGAGGGAACTATATTTACTCAAAATGGGGAATGTACCATAAGAAGTTAAGGCAGCACCACCTTGCAAACCCTCACAATATTCCCATTCCACAGGCAGGGGATGCTGGCCTGGGAACAGCTGTGCTGGGAGGAAGCAGCAAGGCCCACCACACCTTGTCATGAGTTAGGAACACATAAACTTATCTATCTCAAGCTCTACACCTGAGAACTGAACTTGTCAATGCCCTTCAATTTCAAACTTTCTTCCCAAAGAACACTTTTTGGCTTAAAATCAAATTTCAAAGTTTGCACTCTGAAAACTCCAGCCTGAATTTTAAATTCAAAGTGTGTTGAGATTCGCAATTTGACTTTTATGTCAATAACTGCCATGAATTTCCCCCTCTACACAAAACAGATTAAAAAACATGCCAGAAACAGGCCAGGAGCAAATATACTGCTGGAAAAGTCTTTATGTGGTGGTTTAACCATTTTTAACCAGCATTCAACTGCAGGTCACAAACTAACATGCTCTTTTTCAAGCTCATCTGCTGTGGAGGGGGTTTGGAGAGAGCAGAAATTTCAGCTTTAAACAAAAACATTGGGTAGCTTTGGCTGCTGGTGCAACTACTCACCAAACCACAAGAGAGTGGTGAGGGAGCAAACAGCATCCCCTCCCACCTCACACATGATCAGACCCATTGGGAACATCTCACTGCAGACAGCACTTCCCAAAAGGTTTTGTTCTCAAATCTTGCATGGAACTCTGGAAAATGCTGATTTTTCAAGCTGCAAAGGGAGCAGATACTGTGTGTTTTCCTCTTTCTAAAAGGCACTGAGAGGGTGAATCCAGTGTCTCTCTGGCCCCACCAGCTCTGATCTGCTCAGAGGCTCCCAGCCCTGAAGGAACATGCAAAGCACCAACACCTCTGGTTTAGTTCATTAAATGCTGCAGCTCCAGTAACACTGCTTATCCACCACAAACAACTGACAGATAAAGCTGGATTCCCTCAAAATCCATCAGGGAAAAGGGCTGAAGCTGTGGTTATCCACACCATCTCCCAGGCCAAACCCTCACAAGGGGAAACCTGCCAATAAAGGAATGGGACAAGCGAGTCCAGAGACCACCTGAAAGCTCTTGGGGTTGCAAAAACAGGTTACCCAAGAGCAGCAGAGATGCATGAAAGCATGGAACACTTGCAGGGACATTTCCCCTGCAGAGTTTAACATTCACACAAAGATCCAGTTGGTTCCTTTCATTGTTTGGTCCAAGTGCACTAAGGCAAAAGGTTTAATTATATAATTACACTCTCCACAACACAATTTTGTCTGCAGTGCGCTACACAACAAGAGCCTAGAATTAAAGACAACAAGAAAACCAGATTTTCAGTTCTGATCTGGATCTTAATTTTACTCTTCTGCATTTGCATTCAGCTGTACAATTTCCAGCCTGCATTATAGCTTTATGAACACAATTTCTCCTTCACCCGCCCCTCCTTGGATGGAAAATAATTAAGTGTCTGTAATTTGACAAGGAACAAGCTGCACCCTCCAGCAGCAGCACTTGCAACTGCCCTTGGCCAGAGAGCAGAGTTAAATAATGTCCCCAGTGTAGATACAAACATTCAGGCAATAGGATATTAAACCCTCCAAGACATTTTATTCCATAAAAACTTTGTTTCAACACTTTTTTTAATCTCTGGTTGGTAACACCTGATGAATGATCTGAGGGATATGGCCAAGGATCAGGATGATCAGATAACAGAGTTTAAAACTGAGACAGGGAGAGGCAAACAGGAAAAAGCTGTTTAATGTCTCTCCATCATAAGGCCCATGAGACATCTCATGCTACAAGAAGTAGCAAAGTTCAGAAGAAATAGAAAGAAACACAAAAAGTAGTTAAAGCATGGACCTCCTTATCAGAGGATGCTGTGGTTGTTCAATATTTACCCTGGCTCACAGGACTGTGGGCTAATTCCAGGCAGTGACATCAGCTGAAAGCTGCAGAACGTACAGAAACCCCTCCAGAGCTGCAGGAAGCTGGGGAATATTTTAGGGGCTATCACTGCTCTTTTGCTCTCTTCTGCTGTGTCCTGAGCTGTGAGCTACTGCCTCAAAATGAGAACATGAAAGTTTGCCAGCATCTCCCAGAACTGCAGCCTTTTCCGTTACTATTGGCAAAAGAAATCCCACTTCACATTTATAAAAGAGTTATGAATTTTTACATGTCCACACCTCATATCACATCTGTCCTGTTTATATCAGAAATTAGCCCCATGTTTTTGAGTGTGGTGGAGGTGAGCTTGTAGCTTTGTTTTTCCTAGAGGTTGTGACTACTCAAGAGCTTTGAAATGATTTCACATTTCCTTACAAAGGACAAAGGGCTGTCCTTTGATAAATAACTGTAGTTGGATTCTATTTTACAGCACAGCCACAGAAATAACATTAAGTCTCATAGAATTATTTCCTGAGCTGAGATGGGCTAGATTTACCACACAGCTGAGTCTCACTAGGCTAAAAATTTATAAAGGCTCTTTCTGTATTAAAAAGAAGAAATAAACAATCCAAACCTCCCCAAAAACCTCTCCACACTTTTGCTTTTATTCCAGTGCAAAGCTAAGAGAAATTTGCTAGAACCAGACAGGCAGTTAGTAACTCTCAAGCTCACATATTATCTACAGTTGCAGATAAAACTATGTGAAAGCTCTTTAAAACAGACACATATTGTAACACCAATAAGTTTTTCAGCGCTGAAGTCCTGAAAAATTTCTTGAGCCTAGAAACCATTGCTTTCTGTTCCACACCAATGCTTCAGTTTGGGGACAAGATGAATGAAGAGTCTCAATTTTCTGAATTAATCAAAAAGAAACATTCTAGTTCTCTCCATTAGAGACAAAATGTCCCAGGAAGCAGAAGCTGAAAGGCTCTGAGCTGTCACTGTAATACCACTCCATTGCTAGTCAAGATGTCCTGGGTACTGATCCTGCCTTAATGGAACACAGGCATCTCATTCAAAACCAAGGAACACTTTGAACAGCAGAAATATTCCTCTGCTTGTGGTTTTGCACAAACCAACTTGCTCAGGGACATGCTGGGTCCTGCCTGAAATACCTCAGCACCATCTACAGGAAGCCAAGGGCTCGACAGCACCTCTGGAGCAACCCTGGAAATTGGGCTGGAATTGCAGAAATCAGCAGGCACTTGGAAATGCTGGTTGGAGCAAATCTCAAACGGAGAGCTGGGCTCCATCTGCAATTCAAAGTGCTCTCTCCACTCCACTGGCTGCTCTCCCACAGCCAAAGGCTATGCCAGAAGCCTCTGTAAATTTAGAGCAGCACTTTGTCCCTGCATGCATCCAAAGGTTTACCCTTCCCAGCACTCCCTCCTCCTTTAAAAGCAACAGAGCAAATCTTTCCATCTTCCCTCTGAGGTCATTCATACTCCTCCACACTCTCTAGGTGGCCTAAATCCCTCTTGAAATGTGGTGTCCAAACTGGATAAAATATTCATTATAGCAGGAGTTTTACAACTGTGAGCAGGATTGGTGCCTATAGTACAGACAAGACTTATTTTATGAATTCTTGTCTATCTGGTTTCTTTTTGTAACCCCATGTCTAACTTATGACTAATCCTCACTTCACAGAAGACCACACAGACTTCACTCCAGAGCTGCTACCACACAGGAATAATTAATTCATCCTGGAGAAAATTGCATTTCTAGAGCTTTTTCTACCTTACTATAAAATAATTTTAAATCTATGTCTGCCTGGCAAGGTGCTGCAGCTCCTCTCAGCTGATCTGACTGCAGGTATAACAAGCATATTTCCTATGCTCTCATATGAAGTATTAATAGAAAAGCCCTGCAGAACATTTCCTTATCACCCAACAACACTGTCAGCTCCTTTTCAAGTACAGCTTTCCAATCAAGCACACAGGCACTTCAGATTTTTACCAACACCAACAAGGTCTCACATTTGCTTTTGACAGTGTCATACAAAAGTGTCAAAATCCAACTTGCACCACTTCCTCCCCACTCACAATGCCTAAATGAGGGTGAAACTGCCTTGTTTTACAGCTGGGGGCAGCACCAAAGTGCATTTCCCCATGGTCTGTTTATTCCTCCTTATCTCTGGGAAGGCTCACATCAGCACAGTCCATGAGCTCTGTGTTGCTACAGTCACAGCTAAATGCCACAAGATGTCACTGTGTCCCTAAAATATTTGAAAACGTGATTAGGGTTTGCCCAGTCATAAATACATAGCCCTAGAGGGAGAGAAAAATATAACTGGAATATTAGAATTATAGGCTGCATAAAAACTGCCTTCCTTAAAAGTTTCGTACTTAAACTTGAGTACTTAGGTTTTGTGCAAGGTGTGTGGAACCACATACAACATTTCTTCAAACAAGATGAAATTCACAGCTCTGGAACACAAAGAGCAGCTTAGCAGAAGTTTTCTGATGCTCTTTGCTATCATGAAACCATTTAGGCTCCCAGTGCTTTACCTTACAGGGCTCTGATCCACAGCCCAGGGAGGATAAAGGGTTCCCTGAGGAACTCCAGCCTGATTCCCTGAATCCCTGACAAACACCCCAAGCAAGGGGCACAGCATCTTCCCCCACACAGAGGTTCTGTGTCCCTCTGTCCCAGGCCCTTCCCCAAGCACAATCCAGGCTGCAGGAGCCTCTGGGCCCCAGGAGGCAGCACTGACAGGCACAGGCTCCTGCTAAAGTTCAACAACAGCCCCACACTGCTTTGAAAGCTCTGCCAGAACTTCTAACCCAGTCAAGAAACAGCATGTTACACTTTTCATTCTGCTGGAAGTCTCAGCATCTCATCCAAATTTGCTGTCCTGACATGCACAAATGGGGCCAGGCCAGTACCTGACTTGCCATCAGTGCTCCTGCAGCATTTTCCCCTTAGCTACAGGTTTAGAGCATTTCCCCAGTGCTGTGATGCCCCTGTTATGGCACTGGTCAGTTCTACACTTCACTTGGCAATAGGTGGCCCTGTGCTAAGGAAGAAAATAATAATTCTTAAAGCTGTGACAGGCATCATCAGCTTTTAACAACGAGACAACAAAGCCAGACCAAGGTAATGATTAGGATAGCAGTTCTGCAAACATTTCACCTGAATTCCAGGCTTCACATTGCTCTGCCTGGTTTAAACCCAAATCCCAATGATTAACAGCATGAGGAAGTGGATAATATCCTTAGGAACAAAGCCAAGTGATTTCAATGAGAAACAGCATAGTATGAGCCAAGACTGAAGGCTAAAATCCAACTTACCTGTCATATGTCTCTTTGAGATCTCTGGCCAGTTTGCACTTGGGTAGGATGTGATGAAAAGGTGACTGGGGCCCTTCTGTGGCTATGGAAAGATTCAAAACAAGAAAGCAAATAACTGACTTCAAATCAAAGAGTTTCCTCTTCCCCCACTGGGTATCAACCTGTATCTTAGGGACAGAATTTGTATCATTTTAATCTACAATTATCTTTCAAATCTTTTACAATAGCTCAAGTTACACGTTAAAATGATAATAGTGAATTATTGCCAACTTTTGCTAAACCTCAACCCAGTAAAGCACATGTAACCAAATTGGACAAATGATGACTTTAAATGCTTTGTTTTTCTAGATGTTAGCTTTAATTTTTAATGCTTGCAGCAAGATAATGCATCACTGTCAGAGTTCACCTTAAATAGTACATACTGTTATGAGCATTACAGTTACAGAGCATTGTCCAAGTACAGTCTATAAAAATGCTCTGTAACTGTTTGCTAGCCAGGTAACAGCACATAAGAGTGAAGCTTCCACATAAGGAGTCTGGTGACTCAGCAGACAGCATTAAAGCATGCAAAACTTGCTCTAGGTTGGGTGAAGCTGGCCACACAGGAGCTCTTCCATGTCAGCCTGACAGGGAGAGGCAAACACGATGGCTCAGTGCAGTCTCCAGAGATTGTGCTGAACTTAACTAGCAAAGAAATCAAAGAAACTACTTCACCTCTGTCACAGACATGTTTTATGAAAAATCCTTTCCTTGGGATTTCCTAAGGGCAGTAACTTTCCTTAGGATTTTTCCTCCTGAGAAGCCGAGAGGCCTCAGGAACAAAATGTAAACAATGATTATCTGCTGCTGTAAAATGCAACAGGTGCATCTTTGATTGGGCTCATGTGGTTGTTTTTAATTAATGGCCAATCACAGTCCAGCTGTTCAGACTGTCTCAGTCACCAGCCTTTGTTATCATTCTTTCTTTTTCTATTCTTAGCCAGCCTTCTGATGAAATCTTTTCTTCTATTCTTTTAGTATAGTTTTAATATAATATATATCATAAAATAATAAATCAAGCCTTCTGAAACATAGAGTCAAAACATAGAGTCATTCTTGTCTCTTCCCTCATCCTGGGACCCCTGCAACACCACCACACACCTCCAAAAATCACATCCCTGCATAGGGATAGTGAACTTGGCTGAGGCAAAATGCAGGGAAAAGCTCTCAGAATGCTACAGAGCACCAAAACTTGTTCCCAGTGATCCGAGGCACGAGAGAAGCAAGAAGGCACAAGCAGCACCTCTCTGGAAGAGCATTCCAGTGGAGAGCCCCTGCTGCTGAAAGCACTCACTCTCTGCCATGGCAGACACCTCGTCCTGGATGGCCAGGATGAGCTTGGCCTCGCGGGTCAGGTACTGGCAGCGGCGCTCCTCGTGCTGCAGGACGATGGCGATCCTGCGCGACAGGTTGTGCAGGCAGCTGATCACCGACGGGTCCGCGTTGGCCTGCGGGAGCACCAGCAGCCTCTGAGCCATGCAAGGACAGCCATGATGGGGAACAGGCAAATGGTTTCCCACTGAGACCAAAAATCAGCCTCTTGACTGGAAAGGAACAGAATTTTCTCTACCCACGAGCAAGCAGAAGCTTGGAGGTGTCCAAATGTAATTTGGACTTCTAAGCTCGTCTAAGTGTGTGAAAGGAACACCACACCTGGACAGGGATAGCTCTATCTGGGCTGTTTTTCCAGTTGTTAACAGGCCTTCTACCAGCAGAGAGAAAAGACCTCAACTTCACACAGTGAGACAAGACAGTGTCAAGCTTTTTGAAAAGGCAGAATATCCCAGTGTTCAGGTTAAACTCACTGGCACCAACTTCACACAGTGAGACAAGACAGTGTCAAGCTTTTTGAAAAGGCAGAATATCCCAGTGTTCAGGTTAAACTCACTGGCAGCACAAGGGCTGCAGTGCCTTTAACATGTCCCACTAACTCCATGTTGCCCCACGGGTGTTTGTCCTATATACTGACAAGGCAGTAACTAGGTAACAATTACCAGCTCATGACCAATATTTTCATCCCAAATCTGAATTAATTTGGATTTATTCTCCCAAAAAATTCACAAATATAGCTTATTGCCAACACTGCATTTATGAAAGTCCCAGAAAGAAAGTGCTGGAAAAATCTATCACATCAATACAGCTGCCAAGGGGGGTGAGGGGGAATTCACTAGCTCCAGCATGAGTCAGCAGCTGCTTCATGTTTGTTAAGACATTTAAAGGAATTTAAAGTTCTGGCAAGTGACCACTTGGCACAGAAACCAGCAAACTGTGACTCATCAGTTTTTTGACTCTGCTGTTCTTGCTGAGTCACGCCACGTTGGTAGTCCTGAAGCTCAAACACAGCAGGATCAGTGCTGATTATCACACTTGGGCCTTTGCCTGCTCTGTCTGCCCACTGCAGATGGACACTCATCTTTATCTCTGAGGGCCTCCACCCAGCTACTGCACTGCTCCATCCAGGAAAAAATTTCCACTTGCTTCTTGCCCAACACTTTCCAGAAACCTGACTGCTCCCTGTGAACTAAGAGTGTCTCATTTGGCAAATGGATTTTGTGCTGCATCACACAGACAATTAAATCACTATCATCTCATGGCTGAAGGGCAAAGAAAGCAAGTTTTCCTAGAAGCACTAGAAATTAGATTCCAGAAAAATGTGGGCTAGTCTTCACTGTGAATGAAGGAGCATTGGTTTCCACACTTCTGCTGCCACATGGCTCAGTGTGCATCAATTTGTGCATTTGCAGGTGCATCTACACAAGCAAAGCACAGGGCTTTACCAAATCACCAAAACAACATCTTTTAACATGAGAAATCTAAAATCAATTCCTCCATTGTAAATTCAGCACTCCCTGACCCAGCAGTGTCCTAAAGCACAGCAACATTGGATTGCCAGCAGAGCTCTGTAAAAAATTTCTGGCTTGATTCAGGTACTTGTCCTGTGTGAAACCTTGCTCCTCATCTGAGGACAAGCCATGTCCATGTCACCACTGCAAAGCCAGTGGTAAGAAAAGTGCCAGTGCTAAAAGAAAAAAAATTCCTTTCACAAGCATGGAGCTGGAGGTTTTAAAATGATGACATTACATCCAGTTGAGCACAAATCAACCATTTCCACAAAGATAACTATTCCACCTCCCTCTTTTATTTTTAAAAAGGAAAAGAAAGCCAGAGCTCAGAAATCAAGTAATGCTTGAACATAATGAAATTTCTAGGGCTTTATACACCTAATTAGCCAAGCCAGGATCCCTTAACACCAGCACCTAGTTAATAGAGGATGCCTGAAAAAAAATTCCAGGCAGAAACTATGTATTTGTTCTAGGTTTTTGCTGAGCATTGAAACCTCTTTATTCTTCACTTGTACCTTCTTCTCATTTAGCTGTTCAGCTGCTGCTCCCTGGCACTCTCCCTTTACAGTGACCTCACTGCTGAGAGGAGGCAGCTTTCAAACACTGGCCATTAATCACAAAACAAGCCTGGAGTGTGAGCCTTCTGCATTGTCTCATGCATCCAAGGCACATCCCACTGTCAGATGGAATGGAGACAGTCCTTACCCTTAGTGCAAACACCACGTTGAACAGAATCATGGTGGGCATCTCTCTCTTTGGTGAGGGGTCAGTTTTGGATACCTGAAAAATATTTTTTAGAAAATCCCATCGCCTAGTGTCAGCTGGAGACAGTAACAAAGGGAAAGTAATTTTAAAAAATTTTAAAAATATAGTTAAATAACAAGCTGAGAAAAGAGAGTAGACAAATCAATATATAACATCAAATATGACTGACAAAATATAGAACTATGCTTTTGTTTTTAACTGGAGTGTCACAGTTACTCTACAACACTGCCTTTGCTGAGCAGCTGTGAAGACTTAAACCAAACACAAGCATGGAAATGAGGGTCAGTTAAGACAGCACTCTTACTTAGTGTCTCTGTTATTACATTTAGCATCATTAGAGACCTTAGGTTTAAATGTTTTAGCACAACTGTCAGATGTACTGTCAACAGAATTGCACAGATCTCAGGCCACACCTATTCCTTCCTTTCCTAAAATCCTCATTCAAATTCCATCCTGTTACAAGCTGCTGCTTTTATCACACAAAATATGCTCTACAACAGCAGTACTAAACTAAAAGGTTTGATTTTTCCCTTCCTGCAGGATTTCAAACACATTATCCAGCCCCTCTATTCTCTTTGTAGCAGAGAGCTCCATTCCTAAGGCAGATTCAAACTCTCCAGTGAGAAGAAACAGCTGGAGCTGAGACAAGCAAGTGGAATTTGGACAGCCAGAGCAGCTCCAAAGGGAGCACGTGTCACCACAAGATGGAGCACAAAATGCAGAGGACATTCCCACCTCCCCTGTGGCTCCCTGCTCAACACCCACCCCATCCCCAGAGCAAACAGCTGGAACCTGCCAGGCCCAACAAAAGTTGGTCTCTACCCTAAATATGTGCAGCACCTGAGCCAGGGCAAGCACAGAGCAGCATCTGCCCTTCCCCACAGGTTCCAAGCACCAGCACTGAACTGCTCAGGACTGAACTCCAAAATCTGACTGCTTTCACTCAGGAGGCTCTACATTTAGGAAACTAAGAGGTGATACATATTTTGGGATTATTTTTGTCCTAAAGTGAAAATTACATTCTGTCAGAAAGGCAGTGATGGGAGAGTGGTAAAGGCAGTTTACTGTGTTAATCTGTTCTGGAGTTACAGGTTCCAGGACATCTTGTGAATTTCCAAGTGTAAGGACTGATCCTGGTCCTTCCTTAAAATCAGAGAAACAACCACCACTAACATCAGTTGGGATGCAGGCTAGATTTCATATCAACTCATGTCCAGAAAAAAAGAAGAAGGCTGAGCTGGGAAAGAAAAAGCTGAAGGAATTTGAAGAGTTCAGAACATTGCTACATAAAAAGCAATCTGGCACACAGGATTAAATGTTTGTGCTCTTGTAACTCCTGAATTTCATCAGGGTAAGAATTTGCTGAGCTGTCCTGTGGATTAATTTACTGCAGTATGAACTCTGAGGAAACTCAAAGCAGAGGCTGCTGGGTTACTCCAGACACTGCCTGAGCTCCATGGAAAAGCAGCTCCATCTGGTTCCTCCTAACTGCAGGAGGGTCCCAGATTTACACTGACACAAACCAGCAGAGATGGCTGCCACATCTCGAAGATTCTGGACTCTAGAAAGTTCTGGGGTGCCTCCTAGGGTGATGAGACACACCCAAAAAGAAGTTCCTTCAGAAGTAACAAAAAAGTGTTTACAGCTCCTTATAACTTTATTTGCCCAGATGCAATTTTATTTAGACAAACTGAAGTGACATTTCATGCAATTAGGATTAAAATGATTGGAAAGAATGTACAATAATAAGTGGTGAAAAAAATGCAAATACAAATTTTCAGCCTCATTTAGAGCACATTTAGGAAGCTGAACCTTTCAGATGAGATGAATAAAAGAAAGAAAAATTATCTGAGGGAGAACAGGCCACTGCTGTCAGAGCCTTGAGGGCACCACCTTAGATGGCCCTGGCCAGGACCTGTTCCCACACAACTTCCCCCCAAGTCCATGACCTGGGAGCCCCATTTAAGCTCAGCCCAGGGCCTGGAGCTGTGCTGTGTCCAGGATGGACCTTGGATCTGTGTCTGTTTCCTGGTTTAGTACATCCCACCCTTGTCCTGTCCCCTTCTGCTCCTGGCTGGGGTCCCAATACAGACCCTGGGCCTGGTTCACCACTTGCCTTGTCTGGGGCTGCTGATGGATTTGCACAGCTTGGGCACACTTGAATCCTGTCTTCAAGACAGTTTAACCTTTCAGGACTGAGTCTTGGTGATCCTTCATGACATTTCCTGCAGACTCACAACTGAGTTCCCAAAGTAGCATCTTTTGATGCTTTAGGGCAGCTCCTCGCTGGGATTAAAGCAGTCTGGTCCTCTAAATATCATGCAGCAGTTACCAACAAGCTGTTTCCACCTCTAATTATAGCCAGAAAGCAGGACAGAATTGGCAAGCAGACTTATTCCCCTGAAAAAGGAATGACTTAGCAAATTCAATGAAAAATGAGACCAAAGAAGTTCAGTGACAGGGATCAGTGTTGGATTCAGAAATTACCAAAACCTAGTTCATTCCTACAGTTGAGCAGGAAGAAGGAACAGGACAGAGAATATCAGGAACACAGAAGCAGGTGAATTCTTTGCAGGATTTAAGCAGGGCCTTTTGCATAGCCCAGACAGCACACTGCTCTCATTCTAAGCACCTAAAATACAGGCCATAGAGGAAGGTCTCAATGCAAACAGCAGCCTGACTTGGTCCACAAGAAAATTCTAGATCTCTTTCAACATCCTACATATTCCATCTAAGTCTTGTGGATCATCTTCAGCCTCAGGAAAAGTTAAAAGCCAAACAAGGCTGACGCAGCTTTTAGCATTTGTGAAGGGTTTTGGTGGTGTTTTTTTAACTGCCACACTAATTAGAGGTGCTAAAAGCTAACTTGCAGTAACTAAAATAGTGAGAAGCAGCTTTTTGAGTTGGAGTGCCCAGTTTTACTTCTCTTTACTCACACTGCTTCCCTACAGTAACCAGAAGAGTTTCTGTGATCACTGACAGCTCCCTCAGTTTGCCACTCACTCCACTGACCCAGAATAAGTAAAAGACAGCTTGGAGCATCAGGAAGTAAAAGCAGGATCAAAAGCCAACATGCCCATTCTGAACTACAGGTTTCCTCACTAAAACCAGGCAGTTTGTGAGGAAGGCAGGTCCCCAGAGGGGATCTCATACCTACCTGCCCAAGGGCATGCTGGAGCAAGGTGGGATGGCCAACAAAGCGAACATTATCAATCTTCAATTCAAACTTTTTGCCACACATATCTGACTTGGTAGCCAAAATTGTTGCCAGGATGACATCTGAAAACCTTGAAGGGCAGAAACAGAAGTTATTACAGTTTTCAAAAAGCACACTCCCAAAACAGTCCTCCAAATACAGATATATTTAACTCCAAAGTTTTTAAGGCGTTGTAAATTGTGACTGGATTGCTGTACCTGGAGTACCACCAATTATGTAAAATTAAGGACCCCTCAATTACATCCCTCAGATCATCACAATTATAAAACAGGAAGCGTTCACAACAAAGACTGCAGGGTCATGCTCATTTAATTACATGCTCAGCAAAATACATTGAAAAGATTAGATGCAGTTTGCTTAAATATAAAAAGAGCTGGAGTTAGCCATTGCCTGGATTTAGCTGCAGGTTAATGAACTTACTAAGCAATTACATATTGACACAGCCTGTCACTCAAGCACAACAGAGATCTTTAAGCCACCCAGTATGGCAGAGGGGAAGGCAAAAAAGAGCTGATTCAATTAAAAGAAACACAGCCAATGCTTGTCCTTCCTTTCCCAAAGCTCATCAGTGACATTCCAACTGCCTCATTTAACAGACCTCAACCTGTGCTCAGCAGACCACTGGCACCTTCCAAGAGCTGAGCCCTGGCCTCACCTGGGCTTTCTCATTTGATAAATCACATTCATGACAGGCCAGGCCCTTCCCAGTGCCCAGGCATGGGGTTACTGAATTGCTCTGGACTGGTGAGGCCAAGGCAGCAGCTCTGAGACAGGAGGGCAAGAACCCACAGGGGATGAAAACCAGCTAAAAATCCCTTGTGACAAGGGAGGAACTCCACAACTGCTCTCTCTGATGGCCTCAGAGCATTGGACTGGTCTCTACCAACACTTGTTTTCCTCAAGGTGTCCCCTGGGACAGAAAAGCCCAAACCCACAGGGAAGAGGACTCAGCTGCTAGAGTAAATTTGTTGCTCTAAAATAGGAGCAGTGCAAGGCTTGTTATTAACAAGTTCTCTCCTCATCTGTTTTATAGAAGCTCCTACTTGACCAAATGAATTTCAGACCACTTTCTGATGAGAGCTGGTTTTTAAGAATGAAATGTTTATTGCATTTGTGTATTTACAGCCAGGGATGTGTGCCCCTGCCAGACCATCCCCCTAGAGCAGGCAGGTAGCCCAGATAACCCAGTATCACTCAGAGAGGAGGGCAGGCATGGGTGTGTGCTGTGCTCACCTTATCTCTTGGCCACAAGTGAGCCCTCCATGCCCAGAGAAGCAATTAATGTAGCTTAGTCCTGCTTCCCTCTGAGTCATGGAGCACTACAGAAATTAAGACAAATGCACTCAAGGACACAGGGGGAATTCCTTTTATTTACAAATACTGGAGATGAAGGACCACACAGGTCCAAACTGCCAAAGCCCCTGGTGCTTGTACAAACAGGTCACTCTGACCACAGCACTCTGCTTATGTTTGGTTTATGGAAGGAGCAGCTGTGTACAAACTTCCAAATCCCTGGCTGCTCTGCTCCACACTCCAAGCTAAGGGCAAGCAGAGACTAGGCAGAGACTCCTGGGGCCACTGAGCCCATGCTCCTCAGCCACTGGGCTGCACAACTTGGGAAGTCTGGGAGCAAAGGGCAAAGCGCTGGAACAGGACCTGGACTGACAGTCCCTGGAGATCACATTCAAAATAGGAAAAAAAAGTCACTATGACAGCAGTGAGCTTCTCCTCCTCCTTTTGCCCTGCTCAGCAGCTCGTTAATAGGCTCATCATGGAGCCAGGAAGATGGGAACAGCAGTGCATCCAAAAGGAGCATATGTTTTGGGGGGTGAAGGGAGAAGGAGGGCAAACTAGAAAATGTCGGCTTCCTGGTAAGAAATGAGTTACCCTTCCCTCCTCCAGCCTTGGCAAAGGATACCTGGGAGCTGATCAACTGATCATTCTGATAACTTCCACAAGGAATTACACCAGCAGATCCTTTAACAGATAAATGTAGTGCTAAAGGTAGGAATTCAGCAGTTTCCCAGGGGAGTTCTTGACACCAACAGCCCACTCTGCCCTACCTCGCGTGTGGCTCTTTGGGGAGGAAGAGATTAAAAGGCTGATTTTGGAAAGTCCTCAGGATCTTCTCACTACCAGGGTCTTCTGTGTATGGAGAGTACTGAATTGCAGCCAAAGGACATGCTCAGGGACAGAACCCTGACACAGGTGCACCTCCTATCACCACAGGCTCTCCCAAGAGTCACCTGCACTCCAGCCCCATTCTCCTCCTCTCACAGCCTGGATTTATAGTTTTGCCATCTGGGTTTTTTTTAACCCCCAGTGCTCTACATAATTTTGACATTTCTTAGGCCTCAGGACAATAGGGAAATTGAGGAACAGCAGATGTGTTATTCCCATTACTTCAATTAGTCACCTCATCTTAAAAAATGACACTTTAAATATTTCAACACACGTTTTCCCATCTTTGGGGTATGCTAAGATGACCTAAAAACACTGACTTCTCAGAGCCCAAGAGTTTGTTAGAAGCAGATTAGGTTTTGCAGTTGGGCAGTAACCCTTCTCCTTTTATGAGATTAGTCTGAGCATTGTGAATTCCAGGGGGAAGCAAACCTCTTCTGTACTAAGGAATTCAGCAGGCAGAAAGAATATACAATAAACAAAAGCTTTGATTTCTCCAAAATATTCTACCACTCCTCTCCAGAGCACAACATTGCAACAGCACATTGAAAAGAAGGGGGGGAAGATTCAAACATGAATTCTTTTTTCCCCCCAAGAATGGATTGTAACTTTGTATATGCCACAGGAATTCAAAGCAAGGCTCTTATTAGGAATTTTTCTTTGAAGTACTTCAGACAGGATCTGAGTATGTAGGTGAGGTTTATGTTAAGCAGGGACTAGGGATGCTTTTTTTTCCTTCTGGGGCCCTGAGTTAAGCACTTTTCCCTCTCTCATCCCATTCAGCTGAGTGGGGCACCAAAAACAAGCAACCAGCCCAGCTGTTCAAACCTGGGTCCTCTAAAGGGCTCTCCATCATTACCCTGGGATTAAATAAATTACTCACTGAGCTGTACTTTCAAACCATTTCTCCTCAGAAAACAATTTGATTCAGGGCTCCTTGTTGGAATAACTACAATGCCAAGGCTATACTTGTTGCATTCCCAGAGCCTCCCAGTTTTTCCCAGTTCACAGAGGGGACAGTGCCACACCCATTCTGGATTCCCTACAGGAAGCACAGAAATGTTAGTAGGACCTTGGTAATTATCCTGGAACAAACCTTTAGCAATACATTTCCTACAGACACTGTGATTTAGCATATGATTTTCTCATCATTCAGTGTAAAACAGAAACCAGAAACAAAAGCACAATTAAAAGGATGGTGAGAAAAGAAAGCCATTCTAGACAAAGGTGATTGTTTAGAATGTTTGGTCTTACCCTGAAACCAATTGCTCATCAGTTAGAGGACATTGGTCTCTGAAATGGGAACATGGCCATAAACACAAAACAAAACACAACAAAAGAAAATAAACGAGGCAAGTACACAAAATACAAAAGAGAAAAAAAAAGAGATAATATTAAAAACAAGGATGAACTATTAAGGGTTAAACTCCTGTAAAGGAAATATAACTGTTGAGGAGAGTCTAAAGTTAATGGAAGGTGAATTCCAGGGATACATTGCAGGCTGTTTGACAGCATGGAGAAAACAGACTAAGGTAATTTAGTCCTTGCACTAGCAGTGGCTGCTGCCATGTGTTTTCCCACAGTACACAGCATTTATGGAGCCGAGTTCCAGGACACTTTTTAATTCATGCTTACCTTAAGAGAAACAGCAGAGGTTGCAGCCTGATTTAGAGCAGATTCTAAACCTCAGTTTCTTTCCTAGACTATTGCTATCATTTCCACCAAAGAACCTCCCATGCAGCCCCAAACAACCCACAGCTCTTCCCAGTTGGTTCTAGAGCTTCCATACCCACAAGACTTAGGAAAAGAGGATGCCAAGTGTTTGTTGTTGCAGGATTCTGTGAAGGGCCTGGCACACACAGCCAGCACTGCTCCTGCAGGGATCCTCCCAGCAGACACAAGGCTGGCCAGACTCACAGCACTCTGAAATCCTTCCCTGCCCCTCTCTGTGCCCCAGGCAATAAGCACAGCTTAGGAAAAGGGGATTGAAAAAGCTTTCAAGGCAAAGAATCCTAAACCCTTCTTTACAACAGGTGTACAGAGCAGGACTGAGTTAGCACCTGTACTCACTTTTATATCAGAAACACCTGTTTCCATTTTAACATCCAACTGCCACTTTTTCCCCCAATTAAGATTAAAAAAGGACTTGTTTCATAAAACAACTTCATAAATCTACTGAAAAATTAATCTGATAAAAGCTTTCTAGTAACCCACATGAGAAAGGGGAGGCAAACTGAAAACCTCCAACAATTACTTAATACAAAACCCAGATTTCTGCCAGTGACAATGAAAAGAGAACCTAGAGAGCCCAAATGACAAACTACACAATGGGGTGACATTACAGGAAGGGTGTTTCAAGGAATGGGTGCATGAATGGAAAAGCACAGGCTTACAGAAAGGAAGCCTTTCAGAACAAATACAAGGAACAACACTGGAGTCCAGTGAAAGAGGGACACAGGAAACAAATGTTACCACAGGAGAACTACTGTTTGTTAGAAAGGGACATTCAAACCCTTGTTTGTCAGTAACTTGGGGTTTTTATAACAGAAGCATTTGCTAAATTTGCTAAAACTCCTTCAGTTAGTCAGCTCTGCTACTAAAAATGCAAAGTCTGCTGTAACATATGTTACTATATGTGCCTCCTCATTAGAATATTTGCTTGCTGGCTATACCACCTTCAGAAAAAACTACAAAAAAACCTATTTCAAACCAATTTAACATAGCATTATTTGATGGCTTCAAAGGAGTTATTGCCTCCTATTTTTTCAGGGGAAAGAAAGAAGACTGGCAGGCATCTCCATAAACATTGGGAGGGGGTGTATTCCTGGTAAAACACTCAGAAACTGAAGGATGTTTTGGAAAAGTGCAAATGATGAAAGGCTGAGAAGAAGCCAACAGAGACACTTGACAAGCAATTTGTTTTGACAGTGACAGTCTTCTGAATACCTTTTTGTTGCATGGCCACCATCAACACACCTCAAACACTTTTGCTGCTCAACTTGCTTTCAGCAGGAAATAAAATATGTACTCTGCAGACCCAAACACAGCCCCATTGAGCAGAAATGAATACAAGCAAACACACCCCAGGAACCTGGGGAAGGATTATCATGAATAAGCTGCCATTGTCTATAAAAAAAACCAAAAAGCATAACAATGATCAGGAAATTGAGCCTGGAGGCTAAAAGAAATCCAATTATCTGTACAAATATGCTACATGGAAATGGAGTTAAGGCACCTAAACTGATCTGACTTTGTCCCTCCTGAGAGCATTAAGAAAGGTCAGTTCCAAAGTAATTGATCTGGGTTCCAATAGCTATGGGGAAAAAACAACAGTAAATCTTACCTAGGACACAATTGGTACTAGATTACTAATAAATTAAAGACAGGCATCCAATATAAAAAAGGATGACTCCAACCCTCTTAGGAACTACTGCAGCTACAAGATAAATCTGAAATAACCTTTGTACTGAGCATGCAGTGAGAAAACCCCAACCCTACAACATTATCAAACTTGCCATATACCACCAACTTCCACAGCCTCACTTTGTGCCACCAAAACCACCCATGGGTGCTCCTGACATGCAGGGATTGAAAAGAAACTTTTTCCAACTCTTCCTCGATGAAGTCTTCCAAAAATAATACAAAATCATTTCATAAATTACTTTATTGTGGACAATTTCAGACAGAAAATCATCACCACCAGAAAACAGACTGGACTTTGTGCTGATGAACTCTCTCCATGTGCACTGAGTGTCCAGGAAGGGAACTGCTGCACTGCAGAAGGATCTTACAGGGATGGAGCTGCCACTGAAGGAATGGCTCTCACAAAACCAGTTGCTCCATTCCTGGTCTCTATAACCTGATCTTCAATGAAAACACACACACTGAAGCAAAAATTTATAATATTGGTGAGGAAAAAAATCAATGATGATATTGGTTCCATGGCATATGAAGGTTAAACTCCTTTCCTCTCCCAGCTTACAAAGCAGGTGCATCTCCCTCCCTCCAGGGGATCTGCACTTCTCTGTCTCCACTCTCCCCTTGGAATCTCCTCTATTCCAAGGCACCAACCTCTGTTACTCCTAAAATTGCCTGACACAAACCAAAGTTGGAGCAATCCATTGCACAGTTTTGAAGATGCCTTTTTGTCTTCTGCTGGAAGAAGCATCTGTGTACTTAAAACTTGCATATTTTTTCAACCTCATCAGTCAGTGAAAAATACAAACTTTGCCAACAAAGCTTCTCTTGTCTAATTTGAATTAACAGCACTCAGTATATAAAGAGCATCAGCATGTCCTTCTACTAGCAGGTACCACTGAAGAGGACACATTTAACTGCTACAGGAGTTGTCTGGGGTGCAGGGGATTTAAGAGTGATGCTTACATTGCTGCTGGGAAGAAGCTTTCTGTAATCAAACTGCAAACAAACACAGTTTTGAAAGGGATTTTGAATTTCAGAAAACAGATGCCCAGCCATATAAGCAGCACCAGCAGTGTTCTAAACTCCAATACCCAGCATCTAGAATAAATAAACTTTCAGAGCAACAGAAATGCTGCTGCTCTTCTATTTCCCTTTCCATATGCATGGGAGATAGATTTTTCAGACAGATCTGAAAAAAAATCTTTTATTAGTAACAAATACCTGAGCAGGAGATTAAGCATGAACTTTCACGCCTGGTGTCCTGGACATCACTACAATGAAACAATCTAAATATTTGTTTAGTGTAGGTTACATGCCAGCACATTCAATGTAAAAATCTGCTTCAGGAAAACACCAGCAGTTTTCTCACCTGACCATCATCTGAAATGATAAAATCTTTTCCTACATCACTGCAGTAACCACATATTGTCTCACACTAACTCAGCAACACAGGCAACATACAATAAACACAGCCACACATGAAGGGCTTTGTCCAACCTGCCAAATCAGTGTCAGACAGAAATTGGTATCATTCCAACACCTTCTTAATCTACCTAGGGAACTTCTAGAGCCAGGGCTTTGAACACTGAGCTCTCCTGCTGTCCACAGCCCAGCCTGACAAGCCAGTCACCAGTTCCCAAAGATACACATGGTTTGATCCCCCTGCAGCTGTGCCCTGTCCATGCTGCACTCACTGCACACACAACCAAAGGTTGAGTTTGAAGGTTTCAAAGGCATCAGAATGGCAAGAGATACAAATTACCTCAAGCAAAATGTGTTTTCATAAGATCCCAGTCCTGGAAAATGAAATTAACTGATGGATATTTACAGTCATGTGGGTGATTTTAATTTCAGTTAAACCATTCTCTGTCATAAAGTTAACAACAATCTTACATTGACAAAGTGATGATTACTTCTTTAGTACTCTTATAAAAGAGAAGAACAGCAAATACCTCTTTTTTATTAATACTGGAAATAAAAATACATATCAGAAAAAAGATCTGCTAGTGAACTGTGGGCCAACAGACAAAAAAACCTTTTTCTCTCCCAGATTTCTCTCATATCTAGTAGTGATAAATTTAGAACTATGCAGCAGATTTCAAATGTTCAGCAAAACTAATAAGAGAGTCCATCCATAAATAAACACATACTGAACACCACACTGCCTATTTTCAGTGCATTTGTTACCCTCTGATTTCCTGTACTTAAAAAACTCTCTTCAAGTGTCAGTTTCCTTTTGAGCCACTGTGTCACTCCACTGACACAACAGCAGCTCTGTCTGGAGAAACAAAATTAGTTATTCATTAGTGCACAGCAATTCCAATAGACCATTACATGAGCTAGGGAAGAAGTTGAGGCAACTGAAAAATATATCCAGTTAGGAGTAGGCAGGTAAAGAAAAGTGGGATTTTGCCAAAGGATTAATACTCCTAGTTTTGAAAGGGCAATATTGCCTTTCTAACAAGCAAGAATAGCTGATCTTGCCCAGGAAACAACAGATTCAGCAGCATTCCCTGGTGAGACAGTCCTCTTTACCAAGCACTAAGTTGCTCAGAACTCGATATTAAAGAATTTTTTGCCAGGTTGTTGTTTATAGAGTCCAGGAGAATGTGCCTAGGAGCTAGGAGGCAAGAGAGCAGGAGGCTGCCTCGCCTCCATTTCAACCTCTCAGGCAGAAGAAATGTTTTCCCTCCTACCTGGAGTCCCCATCTTGATCTTCTGTGCTGTCACCAGAGCCATTCACAGCATATCGACTCCTTGGTTTGTCTGAAGCAAAGAATAAAGATAAATTTACCCTGGAAAAATCTGCTTAATGGGTGTGTGTATGTTTTTCTATTCTCACTCAAAAGAACATTAAAAAAAAAAAGGAGAAAATTTTTATCCTCCAGGGGATGAAGAGGAGAAAGTGAAACATACACAGAAACTGACACAGGTAACAGTTTGAAGTTCAAGAGGGAAAAGGAAAAGTCTGACCAATGCAATTTCCCTCCTTATTGCTCAGGTTTTGAGACAATTGCAATGCTCCCAAAGTCATAGGAAGGGACAAAAAGCAGGGGTGGCAGAGAAAAAGGAGGAGGGTGGCAGGGAAGCAGTCAGCAAAAAAAAAACAAAAACAAAAACAAAACAAAGAAAAAACATATTATCATATTTCACCTATAAAAATGGAAAGGGAATTAGAGATTATTCTCTCTTCATAAACTGTCTCACAACCTAAGCAGAGGAGTTAAACTTCTCCCAACACACAGCCACCAGCACACAACCCAGATCACACAGCTCCATCACGCCACAGGCACTGTCCCAAATCACATGCCTCAAAGCAAGAGGTGAAGGCAGTGCTGGCATCTGAATAATCCCATGCTCCTGTTTTCCAGGAGAAATTAAACCTCATCCAGCACACTATTCAAGACCACAGACTAAAATTCTGTAATTCCTACCCATTATTGGTTAAAGCTTATAGGGTTTACTGAATCACTTCTTCCAAATCAGTGCCTTCCTTCTCATCCTGCCTCCTCCTTCCCTTCCCCTGCAGCTCCCAAAACCCACAGGATTCACCTGCCCCAGGTGGACAGGGACACCTGGCACTGATGTGGTTCAGTTGATGGATGAGAGGGGTCCCAGGGCACCTGGGGGGAGTGAGGGCACTGCAGGGCAAGGGCTGAGAGGTGCAGAGTCCCATGGGGAGCTGTGAGGGGGGCCAGGTCCTCATGGACAGAGGGAGTGAGGGGAGCCAGGTACCCAGAGAGGGTGTGACAGGTGTGTTTGGGGGGGGTGACAGGTACCCACAGAGTGTGAGGGGTATGGGGGGGGATGACAGGTACCCAGAGAGTGTGAGGGGTGTGTGTGGGGGGATGACAGGTACCCACAGAGTGTGAGGGGTGTGTGTGGGGGGATGACAGGTACCCACAGAGAGTGAGGGGGGGATGACAGGTACCCAGAGAGTGTGTGAGGGGTATGGGGGGGATGACAGGTACCCACAGAGTGTGAGGGGGGGATGACAGATACCCACAGAGTGTGAGGGGTGTGTGGGGGGGATGACAGGTACCCACAGAGTGTGAGGGGGGGATGACAGGTACCCACAGAGAGTGAGGGGTATGGGGGGGGGAAGACAGGTACACAGAGAGTGTGAGGGGTGTATGGGGGGATGACAGGTACCCACAGAGTGTGAGGGGAGGGTGACAGGTACCCAGAGAGTGTGAGAGGTGTCGGGGGGGGGTGACAGGTACACAGAGAGTGTGAGGGGTGTCTGGGGGGGATGACAGGTACACACAGAGTGTGAGGGGCGTGTGGGGGGAATGATAGATACCCACAGAGTGTGAGGGGCACGGAGTGCCAGGTGAGGGGTGCCAGGCCCCCATAGACAATGTGAAGGATGTGAGAGCGGGTTCCGGGCCCGCACGGGCGGTTTGAGGGGTCCGCGTGGGGTACCAGCCCCCCACGGGAGGATGCCAGGCCCCGGCGGAGGCTGCTGCGGGCGGGGGCAGCCGCAGCTCCCGGCGGCGGCACTTACTGTCCTGCGCGGCGGGGTGCTCGGCGCCGCGCTGGAACGGGAAGCGGAACAGCAGCTTGTTGCCGCGGCTGCCCGAGCTCACCAGGATCACGCTGATGGGGCTGGTGCTCTCGCCCATGCCGGCTCGGGCTCCCCGCAGGAAGGGCCCGGCCGCTGCGCCTTCCGCTTCCGCCGGCACACGCTGCGGCCGCCGCTACGGGCACCGGCGGGACAGCGCGGCCGGGACGGCTCTGCCCGGGGCGGCTCTGCCCGGGGCGGCGGTGCCCGGGGCCGCCTCTGCTCGGGCCCTGCGCCCCGCGGCCCGTGCCCAGGGCAGCCCAATGCCCTCAGTTCTGACCAGCATCTCATGCCCCCACAGCTCGTTCCCAGTGCTCCCAGTTAATACCAGCACCTCTGCGGAGTAATACCCACAGCCACATCCTCGGTTATAACCAGCACATCACACACAGCCCTGTTCCCAGTACAGCCCAGTGCCTCCAGTTCAGAGCACCAATTCACACACAGCCCTGTTCCCAGTACAGCCCAGTGCCCCCAGTTCTGACCATCACCTGATGCTTACTTTCCCTCAATCACCCCAGTGTCCCATGGACACCACTCCCTGTTCCACACACTCCCAGTTTATTCCAGTGTTTCACATGCCTGCATCCAGCACCTTCCAGCTCTGCCCAGTGGCCCCAGCATGGCCCAGCACCCCCAGTTCAGCCCCATACCCAGAGAGTGCATGGTGGCCCCAGCCCTGGATCCCTCCACAGGGGCTGATGGATCCTGCACCACCCAATGCTCTTATTTGGCCACTTTGGAGCATTTGTGGCCTTTCAGATGGTTCAGTGAACTCCAGAACTTTCCTGAGAGCTGGTAACAAAGAGCAGTGAGGGCTCTTCATCTCCCCCACTCCCAAAACCCCCTGGGTTATTATCCTCATGGAAGAGTGGAACTGCCCAGGGCAGTGGTGGAATCACAACCCGTGGAAGTCTTAAAAAAACATGTGGATATGGCACTTTGGGACATGGTTTACTGGTGGACTTGACAGTGCTGGGTTAACCTAACACCTTGGAGTGTGTGTGTCAATGGAAATTTTTCAAAGTGCGCTCAGTCTGCCATGACTCTTCTCATGACACTTTCCCTCTTTTTTTTTCCGCATCAGCAACTTTCTAATAGCAACAGGGAAGAAAAGAAGAGCTCCATAAAACAGTATTAAATAAGGAGGCCCATTGGTAATTAGAGTGGGAATGGAAATAAAGGAACACTGGGTAAAACCTGCTGCAATGCCTCTTTGGGACATTTCAAACAGTTTTTTGAAATAACATTTCTGCCTTTCTAGAGCTAATTACACATGTGCTGCACACTGAGGGGAAGGGTAAATTAATTGTGAGAACAAAGGGAATTTGTTGTGGGTTGGAATGAGGCCATGGATGCTTTTTCCCTAATGGGAGAGGAACTGATCACCTCTCCTGGGTTTGCCATGGACAAAAGATGGGATGCAGGGGCTGAATGTGCATCTCCACCCTCCCTGTGCCAGCCTGGGTGCCACTGAGGGTGGATTTGCAGGTGGAGAATCCCTCTGCCCTCCCTTCCAGTCCCTCTCCATTCTTCCCCCATCTGGCAGTAGATTGCTTCCACCAGAGCTGCCAAATCCAGCGTGTCAATACTGCAGATGAATGATTGCAGAGGGCTTTTCCAGCCTTACTGATTCTGTGACACCAGGGTGCCTGCAGGGGGGCAGCTGTGGAAGTCAGACCTGTGGGCTCCCCACGCTCATGGAAAGGCTGGCTTGGGCTTGTTGCTCATGTTCACTTCACAGCTCTGACACACCCTGCCTCATGGTTCCTGTGCTTTTACTCCTGCCTCTGCATTAGGAAGGTGACATTACTCCCCTGGCAGAAGTCTTGGTGCCTTCATATTTTTTTGTGTTTAAGTAAGATCAGAAGTTATCAGCAATTATATTTGAGGATGCCCTGGGGTTTTATGTAAATTCTTCTGTATTTCATTGCATTACTTAGATGCTTGGACACTCTGAGGTATTCCCACTCTGGGTTTTGCTCTGCAGTCCCCCCAGGGACACAGGGCAGAGGTGGGTGGCTGAAGAGGGAGATGAGCAGCCCCAGCAGGTTATAATCTGCAGGGCCATTCTGCACAAGGCCAGTGATAACAATTGAGCAAGAGAAGGCAATGCTGAGGGGAGAGACTTGTCCTGGAGTGATTAAAGACCAGTCGTGTTATCACAGCAGAGCACTCCTTGTACACCAGCACTGGGCTGTCATGTTAAAATTTCAGTGTGCCTGCTTCAAAATATAATTTTACTTTCTCAAATAATAAATTATAGGCCTATCTGTCATTCCCAGTTCTTGGACATTTAATTGTAGTTAGCCTTGTCATTTAAAGCAATGATTGCAAGTTCTTCAAGCCCTGGTAGGAAATCAAAGAGTAAAGCCCGGATTTAGACTCCACTTTCCAGAATTTCAAAATGTAATATGCCTCAAATATTTCAGAGTTAGAGCAGATAAATGTCCCTCCCTTATCCACAGAATTCTCCTTGAGGGGAAGGCAACTCCTGTGGATAATACAGGCCTGTGGGGAAAGTTATCCCTGATCTCACAGTGATTCCATTCAATTGGATTTATAATCAGGGATGTTGGAAATTAGAATCCCCCTTTTACAATTAGCTAATAGGTCTGTTGCTTGCTTCTGCTGTTTAAAATGAGAAATTCTGGTAGCCGGCTTTTGGAACAGATTTTGGATTTAAAAAGACCTACATTAATTTAAAAAAAAATCCCCTTTGGTGATTTTCTGACAAAGATTCATGACCAGCCCAAAGGCTGACATTCTGCAGTGGAGCTGTGGATCATCATGAGAAGCAGCAGCAAGAGAGGAAGGAGGTTTGGTGGCGTTTCCCAGAGGATGTGTCTTCTCTACTGGCCCTGTGACAGAGGAACAGCAGCAATCATGTTGTCCAGCTCTTTGCACCCCTGAGGCCAGGACCCCTTGTCTCACTACCCCATGGGTAGCTGGAGCACTGCAATGAGGAATTTGGCTGCGAGGTTCATGCAGAGCTGGGTTATTTTCCATGTCACGTTGTGTTGAGGAGCAGACTTCTCCCACCAGGCTTGTTCCCACAACAATCCCCAGCACAGCCCTGATCCTGAGTGAGCAATGAGCTCCTTCTAGCAAACCACTGTCACATTTTGGCTGCTCTGGCATTTGAGATAGTGCAGAAGTAACTCTCAGAAAAATAATTCAAATTCCATAATGATTTCAGTGATGATGAATCCTCCTGTGCAGACATCCCTCTGTGTGCACACAAACCTTAATCCTGCAGTCACAGAGAAGCAATGCCCAGGTTACACAGAATAGGAAGGAATCCTCATAGTCTGTGCCTTATCCCTGTGTTTATCTGGGTCACAGCTTGGTTGAGTAACCCCTGATTAAAAGCACTCTCACTGAGGAGAGCTTGGAGCACTGCCATGAACACAACACATAAGAGGCAGCACTTTGGGGAGGAGACAAAAACATTATGTAAATGGATATTTCACAACAGCATCTCTATTTTCAAGGTAAATTTTCTATGGGAAAACTGCAGGTTTTGGGAATGTGTGTAGCAAGGGATGATGAATACAGCCTCTCTTGGCACTGCCATGCATTTAGGTTGTATAAAGTTAAATGCCATGTTTTCCTTGCTTTGGCTCTGCCCATGCTGTCAGTGGCACTTTGGAGACTGCACTGCTCTGCACCTGTGTAGCCAGAGTGAGCTCTGAGTTTTCAGGGGATGTGTATGGCACTATCAAAGGGAAGGTATACAAAGAGCCCTCTGATAATATTCCCTGTTGTCCTCCTTGTGTCTCAGATGTGTCTGCTTTCATATCCCCTCTTAAAGTGAGTGAATTACCCAGCCCGTGGTCAGGAGGACTGAGGAGGAGCTGTGGCATTGAACACAATCTGAAATTAAATCCCAGAGGAGTTGTTGGCCTCCATGGAGGGGATGATAATTCAAGATTCCCAAACCCAGCCAGGCTTGCAGACTCTGGGGCCCTAAGTGCTTTGTGCCTCCCTTTTGGGAAAGCCCAAGGTTTATTCTAATTTGTGTGACAGATGGCACGCAGAGAAGCTTAAATTAGAGCCCAGTGCAGAGTAAAAGGGATGGGTCAGAGTCCTTCTGCAAGTGCCACTTGCCCCAGCAAAGTGGGGACACCAGAGGATACAGAAGTTGCTGTCTGACCCCATCCCTGGTTCTGACCCTGCCACTGGTTCATTCCCACCTGAGCCCAGGATGCAGTGCCAGAGGCACAGCCCAGGAGAGTGGTGTCTCTTTGTAGAGTATGGATCAACTCCTCCAGGCTATGGAGTCTGCCCAGAGAGGAGAGACCTCTGCCCATGTGACAGCACAGAAGAGATCCCTGCCATACACACACACACAGGGGTGCCACCTCAAACCCAGCACCTTTCCAGCAGCACAGCACAGCTCCCTGTGGCTCCTGAGGGGCTCAGGGCACGCTCCTGTGTGACACCTGTGCTCTGGTACAGGTATCCATAGGCTGGGCACCCCCAGCCCATGCACCACCCTGGGATCAGTATCCCTAGGAGGGTTTTCCCTTTAGCAGGATGGCCATGGCTGGGGAACACCCTCTGTGGCCGTGGGTAGTGCTGCTGTCAAATGCAGACACATCTCTGCCTGAGACACACCAGCCTTCTCCACACAAGGGCTGCTTGGGCAGAGAACATTATCTGAGCCCTCTGACTGCACCAGCCAGTGCTCCTTGCACAGCTGCCAGCTCTCAGTGGTGTCTGATGTCTGAGGCTGCTGTAGTTTATCAGCGTGGCAGAGAGATTTACCTCTGCTTTATGTGCTGGCAGGATATTTACTCCCAGAGCTTCTGCAGCAACCATCTCCAGTAGGGTATTTCTTTGACACTTTGCCCACTTATCTGTGATTACAGACCTGTGCTGGTCTTTGTTTTGCTTGTTTGGTCCTGCACCCAGGCAGGGCCCATGCCCTGATGGTACCAGCCATCTGCTGTGGGACCAGGAGCTCTTGTGCATGTCCAGCACAACACAGCCAGCACTAACTGGAGTGCTGAGGGCTATTTTACAGTGCAGGGAACTGTCACCCTGATTTTTAAAGATTTTTCTAAGCTTTCTGATGTTTGCATTCTTGTATGTAACAAACTTTCTCACACACTTTATGTAAATAACTTATTGTTTTGCATTCTTTTATAGAAAAGAAGAACTTTGATAAACTGCTGGTTTATCCAGTGTCATTGGAGAGCTGGCACTGTCACCCTCCAATCCACTGTCACTTTTAGAAATCTATAAATATTAAAGTCAAAAATTAAAAAACTCTCTTTTACCTTGAAAAGAGCAGCATGTCTGCATCATATTATTTCGTGTTCTATAGTGAGGGAACAACTAACAGTAAGATCACATCATTAGAAATCAAAGATGTGCAGTTTGAGGATTATAAAAAAAGAAATCTGACTGGGCTTTCTCACACACACACACTTTTTTCTAGCACGATACTCAATTTCACAAACTCTCTATTCCTGTATCCAAAGTAATCCTTACTACCAGTGTTATCACAGGCAGCAATTGTGAAGTGAGTCCCTAATTCTTTGCAAGAGGCTGGCAAAGTGAAGTCCTGAAGCAAATGGCAAAATCTGCACTTACTCTTAAAAAATCAAGATTTCATTTCTCCTCTGAGCTGCACTACAGATCTCCCAGCCTGTCCCTACCACTACCTACAAAGCATTTTATGTGAAATGTTACACATATGCTGGAAGTGGCTGGGTCAGGAAGGCCCAGAGTCCTGTGTTCACATCTGTGAACCAAGGGAGGAAATAAATGCAGATTCCTCTCCAGGCTCCTCAGTGTGCTGGAGCCCACACACTCTTCAGCTTAGAGGTGTGTCCTGAAGCTTCATCCATGGAATTTTGCAGCATTATCTCTCTGCTCATGTATCAATACGTGTCCAGACAATTTCTTTGGACCACACAGCTGCTAGGTTAAGAAGCAAGAAGCTGATAAGGCCAGCAGGCAAGGAGGACAGTGCGCTGACCCTTGCCAGGGTAGCCATTGCTTCTCGGCAGATAAGTGTCCCCCAGTCCACAGTGGGCCTCTGCAGTGACCAATGAGTGTGGACAGGCACCAAGGTCCTCTCCCCCCTTCCCCTTTATAACCAGGGCTGCCAGGGGGTGACTCCAAACCTGCTCTGAGCGGTCACTGCAAGGGGACAGAGCCAGCAGCTCCTGCACAATGACGCTGACCCAAGCCGAGAAAGCCGCCGTGGTCACCGTCTGGACCAAGGTGGCCACCCAGGCTGATGGCATTGGGGCAGAATCACTGGAGAGGTAAGGCCCCAGCAGGCCTCCAAAGAGGGCTTTGCTGTTGGGATGCATCTCATGTAGAACTTGGGTGAGTGAGAGCAGGCTGGGACCAGGGAGACTTGACAAAGAGTTGTACTGTTTGATATGTAATCTTCAGGAGTTATAGCAGTGCTATTAAATGCTTCACAATCTAGCAGTAAGCCATGATTTTTTTTTTTAGCAATTTAATAGGGCTTTTTTTTCTCCTTATAGCCTTACAGAAGAATTCATAGCCAGAAGCACTGGTGAGGAATTCAAAACCATTCATACTCAGTGTCCTAAACACCATTATCCCTGTTAGGGGATAAACTTGAAGTGGTTTATTGTACAAGTGATGCACTTTCTCTTACAGTTTTTATGCATTAAGAGAATAGCTGTCCACTAAATTCACTGGATGCTCAGTTTTCATTGTTCCAGTTGTTAGGTAACAAACTGTTAGGAAACAAGACAGCTGGACCCCCTGCATGAAGCATGGCACAGTAATTCAAAGTCCATACCAATTAAACAAGCTGGCATAAAAGGGTCTGGAGATTATCAGACATTTTTATGTTATTCAAAGTGATTTAAATGCTATTTACAGCTCAGTATAAAGTACTGTGATCCTCCTTTCAGGATTCTGAGTACCATTCATATAAATTCTTGTTTCTTCATTTTCATTTGAAGGTCCTGGAAACTTCATTATAACATAATACAGGAAATTTGATGACAAGTTGGGGCTTTTATTTATTAAAACAAAACCAAACAAAACCAAACCCATAACTACATTAAGTTTTTAGTAATTTTTAACACTTAATTCTTCTTTAGTAATTTTTAACACTTAATTCTTCTCTAGTACATACAGATAAACCTGCTGTCTAATTTGCATGTGCTGCAGAAGGTTTACACTGCACTTGTTCTGAGGTTTTACCATCTCATACCATTTTTCTGCTGACCCTGTTCCTCGTGTTCTCCTCCAGGCTTTTCTTCAGCTACCCCCAGACAAAAACCTACTTCCCTCACTTTGATCTGAGCCAAGGCTCAGCTCAGCTCCGTGGCCACGGCTCCAAGGTCATGAGTGCCATCGGGGAGGCTGTGAGGAACATCGATGACATCCGCAAGGCTTTGGCCAAGCTCAGCGAGCTGCACGCTTACATCCTCAGGGTGGACCCCGTGAACTTCAAGGTGAGTGAGCACAGAGACTTTCAGGGCTGGAAAGGTGGTCCTGCCATCACAAAGATGGTCCTGCCATCACGAAATTAGAGACCACAGGTCATGTGGGCTAATGGCAGCTTGATCCCTGACTGTGCTGGTTTCTCATACAGTTTTTAACCCGAGATTGGGTGTTTTAATGAAAGTTCTGGCCCAGTGCAGACAAAGAGCTCCTCAGGGAGCTCCTGTGGTTTGTGTTAGACAGACTCAAATCTCTGCTGGTTTTGCTGTAATTCATGAATCTGCTTCACACATCAAGCTACATCACCTGTCTTGAACAAAGTTTTAACAAATTATAAATAGTCCCATTTTGTTGCACTTGAGGAAGGAAAGGGCACATGGAAGAGGGAGGGGGAGGCCTTTTGCCCTATAAAAAAGACAGCTGTGCTTCTTCACTCCCATCTCAGGCAGCAGCACTGCCTGGCTGGGACATGTAGCTGTCATCCCCAAGCACCCTGGGCCCAAGGTCCATTGCAGACCCCTACACTGATACCTGGCACTCACTGTAATGGAGTTCATGCTGCTTTCCCTTACAGCTGCTTTCCCACTGTATCCTGTGCTCCGTGGCTGCCCACTATCCCAGTGACTTCACCCCAGAAGTTCATGCTGCGTGGGACAAGTTCCTGGCCAGTATTTCCTCTGTTCTGACGGAGAAGTACAGATAAATCACCTCAAGAGAGGGTGAGGGAGGCGCCTCCACAGCCCAGCCCTGCTGCCAGGCTCTGGGATATCACCCCTTCCTGGGCAGCTCTTTAAATCCCTGCTGCAGGGGCTCAGTCATCTGCAAAACCAATAAATAATTCAAATGTGAGCTATGGTCTCTGTGCTTTCTTCTCAGTATGTTCTGCCCACACCTGACTGTTCAGGCAGGGGTGTTCTGAAATGTCTACACAATATGGAGGGGGAAATATTAAACTTTAGAAACTCATGTACTAATTCATATACTAATGAACTCTTACTAATTCATGTGCCAATTCAGTGGGTATAACATAACATAACATAACATAACATAACATAACATAACATAACATAATATAACAACATAAACATTCAGTGGGAGCAACATAGCATTGAGCAGAAGCCCAGAGTGGGCTGGAGCCCTGGGACTGCAGCTGCTCACCAAGGTATATCTGCCATAGTGTGTCTCCAGGCTGACCAGGAAAGATCTTTTACCCTGCTAGGACCCATCCAAAACCCATCCCAGCCTGTTGGGAACCAAACCTGCATTGCAATGCAGTGCATTGTCCTCTCATTGTGCCTCTCTCCATGGGGTAGGGATGTGGTATCTGATGTGTTTCTTCCGTGGGATAACCCCACTGTGCAGCCACTGCACCCCAGCTGCCCACTCACCTCCCCCCTGCAATGGGATGAGGTGAAGGGCAAAGGAAGATAAAAGCAAGAAAAATTGGGGGTCAAGATCATACAAACACACAGAAATAATTGTTTAGTAAGTGAAGACTAAGTGGAAGTACAAGGAAGAAAAAACAGGGGATGCAAAGGCAATCCCTCACCACATCCCATAAGCAGGCTGATGTTCAGCCAGTTCATGAGCAAAAACCATAAATAACCCCCCTAAAACTCCTTCAGACCTCTTCTGTTCCCTTTCATTGCTGAGCACGGTGTTATATGGTATGAAATACCTCTTTGATTAGTTGGGCCTATCTGCCTGGCTGTGTCCTCTCCCAGCACCTCAAAATCCATTCCCTGGGTGGGGGCAGAGTGAGAAGCAGAGACAGTCTGGATGCTGTGCAAATGCTGCTCACACAAAATCTGGAACATCAGCCTTTTACTGGGGCAGTTTGGCCAAAAACCTGAAGCACAGCACCATGTTAGCTCCTGTCTCAGACTTGTGGCATGAAACAGTGGGTGCAAAGCCTTCAGCCTGCTCTGATGGCCACCCTGAGCCAGCACTGCACGTGGCAGTCCTCGTCTCATCCATGGAATTTAGGGACTGTGCTTGAACAAGGGGAGAAAGGTGATGTGAAAGCTCTCAGGCCATCAAATAGCTCCAAACATCTAAATGTCACCACAGCAGCTTTTAAAGCTTTCTGCATCCATTGGTGTCAGGTAACCTGGAGGTTTAAATCCATGACTTATGTGCTAGGTCAGCATCTGGCATGTCCCTTACCCTGTGTTTGCACCAACTCCTTCCTGCAGAGGCTGAGAGAAGGATGTGAGAGTCAGAGGAAATGGCCTCAAGTTGTGCCAGGAGAGGCTTAGGTTGGATATTAGGAAAAATTTCTCCACTGAAAGCCTTGTCAGGCACTGGCACAGGCTGTCCAGGGCAGTGCTGGAGTCTCTGTCCCTGGAGGGATTTAGCAGATGTGTAGATGTGGCTCCTGGGGACCTGGTTTAGTGTTGGCCTTGGCAGTGCTGGGGGAATGGTCAGCTCGAGGATCCTAGACACCTTATCAACATTAATAATTCAATTATTCTAACATACTGCTCTTGTATGACCAGACACCATGCAGCCTGAGGGAGTTCCCAGCATTTATGGGGAGAGGCAGGAGCTCACTTTGGGGTGGGAAGAAGGGAAGGAGTCCAAGACTGACAAGGATCACAGGATGGACTTTGGGAAAACCATGAACCCAAAGAGGAGGCAGTTCCCTGGCTGGATTCTCTGGGAAGGCCTGTCCATGGCTCCTACCCAGAGACCATGGGACTTGGGGCAGAGAGGGGCTGGCTCTGCCAAAGTCTGGAGGGGACATGGGACACTTGTGGGACCTACCTCAACACCCTCAGAGCCAAGGAGGGCCCTGCCCATCCGTGGAGAATAATGGATCACAATAACAGGTTTGAGGACTTGCCAGCCAGGGTGGACATGGCTGTGGCACCCCTGGGACATGCCTGGGGCTGCTGCTGTCCAAGAGGCAGCCTGGAAAGGTGCTGCCCCCTGCCCCATTTGGTGTTGGGCTGGTGCAGTGGGGCAGGACGGGCAGCTGGGGCCCCCAGGGGCCTCCTTAGGGCAGGGCCCCCCCCGAGGCATCTGGGGCCCCCCAGGCAGTGCTGCAGCCGCTCCCAGGGCCCGGCCATCCCCCCGCCCCTCCGTGTGATAAGATAAGGCTGGGTGGGGGTGCCAGCAGCTATAAAAGGCGTCCCTGCAGTGCTGCTGCCACCGATCCCTGGCCACTCTTGCAGCCGCCACCATGCTGACCGCCGAGGACAAGAAGCTGATCCAGCAGATGTGGGGAAAGCTGGGGGGCGCCGAGGAGGAAATCGGAGCCGAGGCCCTGACAAGGTACAGACCTGGGGACCCCATGGGAGAGGGGACAAGGGGGTGGGAGCCCCACAGAGGGGCTGGTGTGGTGGGTCCAGCTGGGGTCAGCGCCACTGACTGTCCCGCTCTGCCAGGATGTTCTGCTCCTACCCCCCGACCAAGACCTACTTCCCCCACTTCGACCTGTCCCCGGGCTCTGACCAGGTCCGTGGCCATGGCAAGAAAGTGGTGGCTGCCCTGAGCACTGCCATCAAGAACATGGACAACCTCAGCCAGGCTCTGTCTGAGCTCAGCAACCTGCACGCCTACAACCTGCGTGTGGACCCCGTCAACTTCAAGGCAGGCAGGGGGAATGGGGAATGGGGACAGGGATCAGAATGGGGGGACAGGGAGCAGGGGATGGGGAATGGAGACTGAGGGACAGGGAATGGGGCACAGGGATCGGGATGGGAACCGGGGGATGGAGGACAGGAGATGGGGGAGGGTGGACAGCAGGGGATGGGGTACAGGGGGTGTGGGACAGGGACCGGGATGGGGACATGGGGGCTGGAGTGGCGGTGCTAAGCCCCGTTTTTCCTTGCAGTTCCTGTCGCAGTGCTTGCAGGTGGCGCTGGCTACCCGCCTGGGTAAGGACTACAGCCCCGAGGTGCACTCTGCCGTCGACAAGTTCATGTCGGCCGTGGCCAGCGTGCTGGCTGAGAAGTACAGATGAGCTGTCAGCCGTGCCTGTGTACCATCAATAAAAAAAAGATTCTTTTGCTGCAGCAACGCGTCCGTTTGTGCCGGGGCCGGGGGCTGGGCCGGGCTGGAGTGTGGCGGTGTTCCCGATGGAGGGAGGGGGCTGCGGGTGAGGTGGATGAGGTACGGGAAGGGCAGCACCAGCCCTGGGCTCCCTGGGTGTCCCCAGGGCCCTGCTGGCTCCCAACCCTCCCCAGCACGGGATGCAGCCGATGGCAGCACCCAGGGAGTGAAGCTGTGCCTACAATCCTCCAGGGAGCAGGGCAAAGGCTGTGCCAAATGTGATCCTTGCATCCCCTGAAGGATTCCTGGGGGGTGATGGAGGTGTAGGATAAATCCTGCCTGGTCTCCATCTATCAAGATGGCTTTTTAAGGCTTTATTAGGAGTGCTGCAGGAGCTAAGTGCTTGCATGAGCTCCAGAAGCAATCTGAGAATTCATGGAGTGAAAAAAGTCCACCGCAGACCATTAAGCACAAAGACTGTTCTGGGACTCAAGCTCCTGAACCACAAATCCCAGTCAACTGCCAGGGAAGAACCTCCACACCTGCCCCAGGTGTCTGCTCTTCCCCTGGGACCTGGGCAGGGTAGGAATGGGATGGGCAAAGCTGCAGTCCAGTATTGGGACACTGGTTTCAGGACTTTGGAGCCTGAATTTTAAAAGAATCAATGATCACAGGTGAAGGGCTACGAGGTACTAAATTAGCCCTGGGTCTGCTCTGTGCTGTGACACCAGAGGGAGGAGATGAGATCCTGCAGGAGAGAGGTGCCTGAGTGTCCAGGTGTGGGCAGGAGGCAGGTGGGGGCATGCAGGGACCCTGCCTGCTCACAAACAGGCCTGGCAGTCCCTGAGCGTGGCAGCACCTGCAGGTGAACCCACGGCACTTGTGCTCCATCCTCAAACACACCCCAGGTACCACATCCCAGTGGGCTCAAGTGCATTTACACCCGTTTGTTTTTGTGACACCGGTCTGAAGGGCTCTGCTGCCTTGGCAGCTCTCCCCATGCACACACATGCAGCAGACACTGCCCTGCTGCTGCTGCTGCTGCTTCCCAGAAAATCAGCCCCCCAGCCCTCCCTCCCCACTCTGAAGCCGTGCCAGACCAAGCTAATCTCCCCCAAACACAAATGATAAGAACCTCAGCCATGGAGGAAACACGGGTGTGAGCTGTCACTGCTGGTCTGCGCCACCTGCCGAGCCCACCGTGAGCTCTGCAAGCCCCCTCACCCTCCCTGCCTTCCTCACCACCCTCATCTTCCTTGCCCTTGTTACATTCCTCATCATGTGGACCACACGGGGCTCACCACAGACCACAGAGTTCCCTGGTATCTTCCCAGAGCTATTGCAGTGCCCAGTGCTGACCCCGTGGCTCTGCGCAGTGTCCCCCTGCCCAGATGTCAGGGGCTCTGCCCAGTGCCCCAGAGCAGCAGGGCAGTGCAGGACAGGGGCTGGGGCAGGGCCTGACAGTGCCTCGAGGAGCAGGGGCTGCAGAGAGCACACACTGTGGGGTGGTTGGGGCACACGGGTGTGGGGTGTGCAGAGGAACCAGAGCAGGGAGTGCAGAGGGGCAGCCGTGCACAGGGAGGTGTTGGACGGCAGAGGGCTGAGCAGGGACAGCACAGGGTGTGCAAGGACGTGCAGGTGGCAGCTGGCAGTGCCTGGAGGGGCAGTGTGTGTCCTGGGGCAGCTCGGGGGGTGTGTGCAGGCTGCTGGATGGTCAGGCTGTGCATGTAGGTGCACACGGGGCTGTGTGGGGATGTGGGGCACAGACTCCCCCACGCTGCTGTGCCAACACCCGGCCAGAACACATCCAGGCTGTGCCAGTCCTATGCCAGGGGACACACACGGGCTCCTCCGCCAGTGCCAGTGCAGACCCTAACCACAACCCATGCCAGCCCGGGCACCGGTGCCGGTGCCGGTGCCGGTGCCCGGGCGGAGCGGAGCGGGGCGGGGAGGGCAGGGCGGGCGGCGGCCCCGCCTGGCCGGGGTCCAGCACCCCCGGGCCGGGCGGAGCCCCAGCACCGCATATAAGGGCGGCGGCGGGCAGCGGGGACACCCGTGCTGGCGCTGCCGACTCGGAGGTGACACCATGGTGCTGTCCGCCGCAGACAAGACCAACGTCAAGGGCGTTTTCGCCAAAATCGGCGGCCAGGCCGACGAATATGGCGCCGATGCCCTGGAGAGGTATCGTGGTTCTTCCCTGTGTGACCCTCTCTCTTCTCTCCAGCCCCGACTCCCTCGCATCTGCCCCCTCTTGTCCCCATCCGCAGCTGTCGCTGTCCTTTGCCACCTTGTCCCTGTCTCACCTGTCTCTGAACCCCTTTGTTCTGCAGGATGTTCGCCACCTACCCCGCGACCAAGACCTACTTCCCCCACTTCGACCTAGGAAAGGGCTCTGCCCAGGTCAAGGGGCACGGCAAGAAGGTGGCGGGCGCCCTGGTGGAAGCTGTCAACCACATCGATGACCTTGCTGGTGCCCTCTCCAAGCTCAGCGACCTCCACGCCCAAAAACTCCGTGTGGACCCTGTCAACTTCAAAGTGAGTGTCTGGGGAGGGGTGACCAGCCCAGCTTCCCTCCTGCACCTCCTGGCTGCTCCCTTGCCTCATGCCCTTGCTCACCACATCGTTTTGCCTTCCAGCTGCTGGGCCAGTGCTTCCTGGTGGCGGTGGCCACCCGCAACCCCGGTCTCCTGACCCCTGAGGTCCACGCTTCCCTGGACAAGTTCCTGTGTGCCGTGGGCACCGTGCTGACTGCCAAGTACCGTTAAGGCGTGTGCTGTGGCCAGAGCTGGAGCCAACACCCCACCAGCCCTCCGACAGCCAGCAGTCAAATGTTCTGAAATAAAATCTCTTGCATTTGTGCTGCAGCCCCGGTGTCCTGCTCTGTGTGCTGCCCGCGGGAAGGGAGCGGGAGGGATGTGCTCTGGGGGTCTGAACTGGAGGTTTCCCCATCAGGTGGGTACATGCAGGAAATGGGCTCTGGTTTTGCTGTCCCTGAGAGGAGGCAGAATCTGGGGGGTGGTGTCCAGCAGGCAGACACTGCCTTGCTGCCGTGGGGCTCTGGGAAGAAACAGAGCATTTCTAGGCACCAGTGCAGGGGAGAGACTCATGGAAGATCTGGGGCTCCCTGCAGCTCCAGGCTGTCCCACCAGAATTCCACATTGGGATCCCCTCGTGCACCACCAGCCCTGGGCACCTTTGTTCAGGACAGAGCTGGAGGACACCTTCTCCTGAAAATCTACACAGGAGTACAGGGGCTCCTGGCACCTGTGACCCTCTGCCTGGCAGCAGAGTGGGAATGGCCTGAGGACCTCCCTGTGCCAGGACATCTTTCCTTGCACACCCAGCACACAGGGCTGTGCAGGGGTGCAAGACTTCTTCTGCCTCCACCAAATGGCCCATAGCTGGGTGTCACTGTGGAGGGGTCCTGGGGAGCTCCAAGGGGAGCAGATGGGGCTCAGCTCCAGATCCAGCAATGTGGGGAGGTGTCAGGGCCCCACAAAAAGGAGCCCAGGAGTTGTGCTGGTGTCTGCACCCCCCAGGCCTTATCGCAGCCCACAGCAGGGTGGCCATGGTGGGGGCTGATAAAGGAACGTGTGGGCTCTCCTCCAGCTGTGGGTGTGGTGGGAGACTGGGCAACAGATAGTCCCAGGAGGCTACAACCTGCCAGGTGCTGAGTAAGGGCTGGGAGGTCCTTAGTGAGGAGGGGAAGGATCAAGGAAGCCCCAGGGTGGCTCACAAAGCCAGCCAAGGTTGCCACAGGCTCCTCTGATCCTTGGCACTGGCAAGGATGGCCTCTTCCATAATCCCATGGCCTCCAGGCGCTGTCAGTGAATGCACAGAGACAGGAGAAACTCCAATAACTCCAAAGAGAGGAGGAGGCTCTTCAGGGTCTCTTCTGCAAGCACCACAGGTGTTATGAGCCCACACACCCTCTGTTGCTGAGCACAGTGAGGAAGGGAGGAGAAAGCCAGTCAGGGCATCACTGGCCAATCTCTACCTTTGTATGGAGCAGGTGTTGGAGCAGTTTCCACCCTTCCAGCCAGGAACATCACCCAGGCAGAG